ATGCTTCACTTTGGATCAGAGCCAACAGCTGCTTCTGGAAAAACAGCCTACCTCAAGAGTGACGTCATCAGATCCAGCTATCATATTAAGCATAAAAGTAAGTCACCAACATTGTCCATAATCTAGTTTTTTTCTTTTTGCATATATTATCAGAAATTGATTATCTCTTAACAACAGCTGCTTCCAAGCGGGCGGTAAAATGTAAGAAATTTAAGAAAACTAAAAGTCACAGCACTCCTTTTTTCAGATATGATGTACCAAGTGATAACACCATACGGGACACGAAGAGAATATGGTGGTGTGGTCTGGAAACGCCAGGTAGCCCTGGAGAGATGTCATAGTGATAACCGGTGTGGTGCTGTTCAGTATAATAACCACGGCCGCTGGTTCAAGCTTCACTACTGGCAACCTGGGCGTCAGCAACCTGAGCTTATTAAAACCAAATTAAACCGAGTGGCTTATCATAGGATCGACGGTGAAGCACTCGTCAAGAACGGCGTGGCCTGGTCAAGAAATGAAAGGCGGATCTGTAGCACTCCTCTGTATCCAACGAAGGATTACAAATACCCCACCTTTGATGAGGCCATAACGGCCTGTTCTACCGACAAGAAATGCGGCGGCATCACTGAATTCAAGACGGCTCGTCCTATCTATTTCCAATTGTACGCAGAATGCCGGCTGCAAGGCAACCAAAAACATTGGGATTCCCATGTCAAGGGTTCCCCGGTTACAATAGCCCATGACAAGTACTGGACCATTCTGCCTGGATATAAGTTTGAGGTGCAAGGAAACAAAAAGTTCACTACTAGAAGTGATGCTATGAGTGCTTGTTTGGAGAACTTTAAGAAGAATATGGCATCGGGAGCTCATCTGGAATACTGTGTGGGTGTCATGAAGAAGAGCGAAAATAGCTACTTCATGGGCAAAGGTATGGCTACAGTTGAAGAAATAAGCTCCACTGTCTGGGTTCTGGGAGGAGATGAAGTAAAATACACAACAGCATCTGTGAGCTATGGTGGATACAGTTGGGACATGATCGAGCCCATGAAACTAACGGGACGTGTGTCTGGAACTAGATACCCCAACAGGAAAAAGGCGATGAAGTTCTGTATTAATAACCCCAAATGTAATGGTATCGTGAGGGAACGACCCCATCAATACTACCTTGTGGGAGGAACCAGCCCTATACCCGCTACAGGACAGATAGCCTACATCAAGTCAGGGTCTTCTGTCATGATGTCCAGGACAATGTGGAGTGGCAAAGAAGGAATACAGCTGAAGGGAGCATACGGGAAGAGGATCTACACTTCCAGAGACAGCGCACTGAAGGCATGTGCTGGTTTGTCCGGCTGTATGGGGGTGACCAAGTACGGTTCAGGAGACTTCCGACTGAGAGGCACCACAACATCTGCTTCCAAACCAGGAGCTGTCTCCTGGATCGAGGGAGACAGTGTGATCGAGGCGGAAGACTTTTATTGGTCCGAGAAGTCTGGATACAAGATCAATATAAAATTAAGCGGAACCGCCTACCCCGACAAAAACAAGGCTTTCAAGCAATGTGTTAGCAGAAGAAGCCAATGTTCAGGTGTGACCAAGTCAGGTGGTAAATATTACATCATGCAGGGAGATGGTATTACCAAAACTGGTAAAGACAAGACCTTCTTGATGGGTGATGTGGTGAAGACAACCAGTTACATGGTGTTCGCAAACAAAGCCTGGACCATCAAGTCACCTTACACGTTGGATAGTTGCTACAAATCCTTCAACAACCTGTACGAGGCTGTTGATAGATGTGCTGAAGAGAAGCAGTGTAACGGTGTAACCAGCACACACCCCAACCATTACGCTCTGTGTAGAAATGTGAGTATTGTGCTGCTTCAATTTTAGATATAATCTTTATTGAAACTACTACTACTACTACTACTATGTCGGAGCTAAGTCCGATCTACGCCAGAAAACCCCCTCCATATATCCCTGTCCCGCATCAGGGTTCGCAGTTCCTCTTTAGAGTTTGTCCCAACTTCCTTCAGTAACATAGACAAGTAGCTTTGTCTTGGTCGGCCTTGCTGTGCTCTACCGTGCGTAGGTTCCCATAAGACTAATTCACTGGCAAGTAGCTCAGGATGTCGGATGCAGTGTCCCGCCATTTTTAATCTCCTGCTTCGTAACTTGTTTGACAGCCTTGGGAGGCTACCATACAAAGTTATATTGCTGACCTTGTCCTTCCATGAGATACCCAGCACCATACGCAACATCTTTGTGTATGTCCCGTCCAAACTTTTCTCTTGAGCCTTTGTCAGTGTCCAGGTTTCTGATCCGTAGAGCAGTACTGATTCACAAGCCGCTATGAACAATCTAATCTTTAGGCTCTTTGAGAGTTTGGATTTCCAGATATCCTTCAGTCTATGTAGGGCACCCCACGCTTTTCCCTTTCTAACCCTTATCTCCCTATCTGTGCTCTCAATCCAGGAGCCTAAGTAGATGAAATCATCTACATTTTCTATGGCTTCCCCGGATCGACTTTGTAGGTCGCTAGATCGATCCTCCATATTCAGTGTCATGACCTTGGTCTTGCCTTCGTTTATGTGTAGTCCCACGCTTGCTGCCGCCGATTCTACTCTGAGCAGGAACTCGTTAGCCTTGTCCATGTCCTCAGATATAAGTGCTATATCATCTGCAAAGTCCACATCGGTGATGATCTTGGGCCCCACTCTTCTGCTTTTTCTACGTTCGAGGGTGAGTCCAAGTCGCTCCGCATCATCGCCTATGGCTTGCCTCATACAGTAGTCGATGACTATTGCAAAGAGGTAAGGTGCTAAGGTATCACCCTGTAACACACCTGCAAGTATCTCGAACAATTCAGTTTCTCCGTCTGGAGTTAGGACTTTGGCCATTGTCTTCTCGTACATGAGCCGTATAAGCTGCACGATTTTGACTGGAATGCCGTAAGCTTCTAGAATCTTTAGCATTTTCCCACGATGTACACTGTCGAAAGCCTTCTTAAAGTCTATAAATGTCAGAACAGCTGGCAGTTTCCGACTCTTGACACCCTCTATAAGACGTCTCAGTACCAATATCTGTTGAGTTGTTGACCTTCCTGGTCTGAATCCATTCTGGTTTCTACGCAGAATTGTCTCGATTTCTGGCTTCAACCGGTTTAGAACCATCTTGTTTAGAGACTTGGCAACTAGGGATGACAAGCTTATTCCCCGATAGTTCATTGGTTCGCTAAGGTCGCCCTTCTTTGGAATTGGTATGATGAAAGGGATTTGTTATTTACAATTAAATTTAGCATCATTTCATTCTTGATTTCATGCAACAACCTTTCTAATTCACATCAACTGTACACTGCTGTTTACAAAAATTAAACCCCTCCAGAGAAACCTAGTTGAAAGGATTGGCTCTGAGATCTACTTGAAGGAAGATAAGTACGTCAATACGGCGGATACTTATGGCCAGAGTTCAAGGGCAAAGTCTACCATACCCTTGGTTCAACTGCATACCCCAGCGAGAGTGATGCTATGAACGCCTGTAAGAACAACGAAGCATGCAGGGGCGTTTCTCTGATAAAAAAGAACACCTATAAACTCGGAATGAAGGATGACCTGAAGGCCGGATCAAGCGGAGTTATATCCTACGTGAAGGGAGATGAGATCTATCTTTCAGCAAGTAAGAATATATAAAAGCTGTCTCATTGTTAATTAGTGATCAAAATCAAGTTTCTGATGCCCTTGATAGTTCTGCATTTCTAATGTCATTACTTTTCGTCCCTATCATGGAATTTGTCCCAGGGCACTACTGGTTGAAGAAACCAAACTACACACTGGACCGTCGACTGACCAACCAGCGCTACACAGACCTGAACTCAGCCCTGATCCAATGTGTTTCTAAACTGAAGATCTGCCAGGGTGTAGTCCAGGAAGGAGCTCACGACTTCTACATGTACAGAGACACAAAGCTCTCCTTCGAGCAGGGTCACACAACCTACCTGATGGCTGACGATGAGCTGATAGTGACCACCATGACGCTCAGCAGTAATGGTGTATCATGGACTTACCAGAACCCATTCACTCTCACGGGAGAGTTTGGCGGATGGTACAACAATAAGGATGATTGTCTGAGAATTTGTGGCCGTAAGAAACTTATCTATCTATTTTTTTCTGATGACGTTATCAACTGAATTTCATAATACAATTTGTCACAGGTCTAGGTGACTGTACAATAAACTTTCATGTGCAGTTCATTTCTGAGAAAGTTACTTAAGCATTTTAGATTGAACTCATAGTAATGTATTGTAACCCTTCAGCTGCTGTAAATTGCGGAGGTTGCATCTACAACGGAAAACAATACAGAAGAACACGTGGCTCTACTCCACACCCCAAGAAGAGACAGTCCTGCTACATCAAGACGGGCAAGTCCCTCACCTTCCGTGGATACACCTGGACATTCATCAAGGACAGACAGCTGATAGGGTACTTCAACAACAAGATATACACCAGCAAGCAGAGTGCTCTGAGAGTATGTGGCAGTAGTGCTGGATGCAAGGGTGTCACGAAGGAGGGACCTAGAAGATACAGACTCAACAGTTCCACAACCTACAAGACAGTCAAGGGACGTAAGATCTGGATCCAGGGCAGTCACACTGAGACACTGGAGGATTACAACTGGACTCCTAAATCTAACTGGAAACTGATTGGCCGTGAAACACGTGTCTTCAAGTTGAAATGGCAGGCTGCCAGAGCATGTGCTCGTTGGAACCTCTGTACTGGTTACGTTAGGTACAGTGAACACGATTGGAGAATTGTAACTGGTTCTGGGTTGACTTACAAGAAGGGAGCCGTCACGTACGTCCGGGGAGGATACGCTTTCAGCACCTTCTCTCTCTTCCACGAGGGTAAGACTTGATTCTGATTCCAGGAGAAATTGAATGAAAAATTTGAGCGTAAAGAATTTTACTCAAATTAATCCCATAAATGCGTGACTAAAATTTCCTATTTCAGACACGGTGTTCCATGTGGAGTCTCCCAAGGGATGCTCTGGTCACTTCGGTAGATGGTACAAAACTCAATCTGACGCCCTGGATGCATGCGTGTCCCGAGCAAACAAGCACTGCCACGCAGTAGAATACGACTACCACAACCATAGGTTCCGTATGGCCCGCAATCCCAACACTCGTGTGCAGAGTGGCAAGGCTTGCATGGCTAAGGGTGGCCACTTTGTGGAAGCTAATGGTTACATGTGGGACTACATGGTGGATACATCACTGACCGGATACTTCAATGATGTGGTCTACAAGACTGACTCTGAAGCGTACACTGTGTGTGCTGCTTCTACTGACTGTAAGGGAGTTACCATGGAGACTGCTGGCAAATTCAGACTGAATTCTGATGCCAAACGTGTCAACAAACATGGCCAGAAATCTTTTATACAAGGAAGTAAGTAATTGAGTAGAGTTGGCATGTTTAAATTGCATCAGACCAATGTGATCCTCATTTTAATTCGAATTCTCTGAACTTGCTGTGAAAAATGCAGCAAGAGCCGAGAATCAGTCGCTCAAACCCACCATAAACCACGTTATCTTCAGATGCGTTTGTGCAGTATAAGAAATACTACTGGAGTGAAGCAGCTGGATTTAGACTAGTCGGATACGCTGACAGCAAGAGCTACACGTCACGTGATGCAGCCATGACCGCTTGTCTCACCAACTCCAAGTGTCACGGTCAGAATCTTATCATCTACCAACTGCTGACTTGAGTCAATTTTGTCTCGCTGACTACCTAGCTGAATTTTCACAAATTATGTTTTATGTTTAAAGTTCATTGAAAAATTGGAATTTATTCTCATACTCCTAAATGCAGGTGTAACAATGGAAGCAAACTCAAAATACCGACTCAACTCGGGTCAAATCCCGATGGCAGAGAACAGCATGACAGCCTACATCAAGGGAGGCGCTGCTATCCAAGTACAAGAGTTCAGTCTCACCTATGCTGGTTACGCCTGGACCTTCAAATCACCCTTCACTTTGGAGGGATACTCCGACGGAAGACAATACCATACACGAAATGCTGCTCTTCAGGCTTGTGGAGCTCAAGCTCGCTGTGTGGGTGTTACCAAGGAGGCTGATCGCAGGTTCCGTCTGAACCACCACGCCACCGTGTACCCCCAGAAGGGACGGTCCGTGTGGATTCAGGGTGGACAAGTGGTTACTGGAGGAGACTACACATGGTCTACCCTGAAGGGCAGGACTCTTACAGGCTACGTTAACAACGTGGTTTACAAGACAAGAACAGCTGCATTGGAGGCTTGTGCTAAGAATGCTGGATGTAAGGGAGTAACCAGAGAAGGGGAGAGCAACTATCGTCTCAACTCTTCAGGAACCACCAAAACTAGCAAGACCTCCGTGTCCTACACCAAATCCAACGCTCTGTCCATCATGAGCGACTACTACTGGACCAAGGTAACCGGTCTCATGTACAAGGATAACCGGTCTAACAAGAAGTTCAAGGACCTGGACTCTGCATCTGAAGCCTGCGCTAAGGATGTACATTGTTCTGGCATCACAGCCACAGCTAATGTGTTCGTTCTTGGCAAAGGAACTGAACTCCGCAGTAAGCCCGACTCTACTGTGTACGTACAGGGATCCCTTCACACTGAAACCTACTACATCACACATGGAGGTAATGATGTAACAGCGTAAAAATAAAATGGCAAAAACATAACGCCTCAATTTACCAATCAGTTTCTATAACTTTTATGCTTATGCTGTGATAATGATTCATTAAATGAAACATTAAATGAGTAAGACATCAACTAAATTCTCATTTCGTTGCAGGTTACGTGTGGCGCGGAACCAGCCCGTACATGCTAGGAGGCATGGAAGGAGGAAAGGTCTACAAATCAGCTATTATAGCGAGGAACCATGTACTGAAGAACAAGAGACGTTACAAAGGATACACTAGAATAGAGGACGGAACTTACAGAATCAATCAAAGTAAGTATACACTTTTTAACACTTTCACAGAAATTTTCTACTTTTTATGGTCATTTCGTTCAGGTTCGATCTTAATAGCTTGATTTCTAAATTTTCCATCAAATTTAAACATGACAAGAAAATATACACGTGAGCTGAAAACTTTGATAAAAAACCTTTAACAAAATTTTACATACGTAAGGAGTGTTTAATGAACGGTCCACAACTCAGGATCTAATAAGGTAATGCGTCTTGGAGAGGTCGGTTGGGAACTGATGGGACTAAATATTGGTAACGGAGGTCACATGTGGTCTAAACACTCCAACAGCCGACTAATCGGTCGCCTTGGTAACCATGTTTACAAAACAGTAAGCGAGGCTATGACGGCTTGTATTGGAAGAAACCGGTGTAAGGGTGTGACGGAGGAGGGTAACAACAGGTTCGGAATGTACACTGGAAACAACCCTTCAGGAGCATCCGGCAAGACTTGCTATGTCAAGGGAGAAGTCCAGACCATCGCCTCAGGTAAATATTTTATATTTGATGATGATAAACGGTCATTATATCTACTTTATTTCTTTTTTTACAAACAAATCTGCGTATATTTATTGTGCGTTTACTCTATGCATTTTCTAACAAACAAAAGAAAAGATGTGAATAAAACAGTGTAGTGGTGCCTTGCGTGTGCCTCACAGTTGTTGTTCCTTGATGAACCCAATCTACTCAGTTTCCATATCTCTCCTTTTCGTCCTGCGTTACTCTTCTACATAAGATGTATGGAAGTTATCAAGAGTTCAGTCACGTGATCAACATGTCAAGGAAGAGTGACCAAAAGTGACCGTTACTCAGATCTAAGTTGAACTTATAGTACTGACTGGTCTATAATTGGTAGCAGAAGGACCGTCCTACAGACGCTTCAAATTGGTCAATACCTCATTATGTCCTGTTCGCCTCTTCCGCTCCATCTTTTCCTTCCTCCTCCTCCATCTTTTCCTTCCTCCTCCCTCTTTTCCTTCCTCCTCCTCCCTCTTTTCCTTCCTCCTCCCTCTTTTCCTTTTCCTCCTCCCTCTTTTCCTTTTCCTCCTCCCTCTTTTCCTTCCTCCTCCTCCCTCTTTTCCTTCCTCCTCCTCCCTCTTTTCCTTCCTCCTCCCTCTTTTCCTTTTCCTCCTCCCTCTTTTCCTTTTCCTCCTCCCTCTTTTCCTTCCTCCTCCTCCCTCTTTTCCTTCCTCCTCCTCCCTCTTTTCCTTTTCCTCCTCCCTCTTTTCCTTTTCCTCCTCCCTCTTTTCCTTCCTCCTCCTCCCTCTTTTCCTTTTCCTCCTCCCTCTTTTCCTTTTCCTCCTCCCTCTTTTCCTTCCTCCTCCTCCCTCTTTTCCTTCCTCCTCCATTTTTTCCTTTTCCGCTTCATACAGGGTGGCCCAAAAGTGACTACCCACACGCAACCTCTTAATAACTCACGTAATTCATCTCCAAATTGCACCAAAATTTCAGAGATTATAGATATGGGTCAAACTTAGATTTCCTGAAAGTGTTGTAAGCCACGCCCAATTACAGTGGGCGTGGCGTGACACTCCCTCTTTTTCACTATTGTCTTCATAAAATGAGAACGCTTTAAGCTAAGAACTCAAAATTTTTTGCACACATTTGGCTTGCTAATTTAAAACCTTTCCTAAAGTTTCAAGTTCATTGATCAAAATTTGGCTGAGTTATGACCATTTCAAAATCCATCGGATACGTGATCCGAGCACTCAGTCAGTGATCTCTGTACTCAATCAGTGATCTCGTTACCCAATCTGATCAAGAGTAAGGCGTTAGCGTGTATTAATGAGGTTCATTAGGCTTTACCAAACATACTGAGGAGATGACGACCTGATCATCATTGATTGGATACAGATTTAAATGACTTTGCTAGACAGGAAAACACGAAGTTTTACGATAAATCAATAAATGAAATCAACTAATCAAAATTCCCACACAAAGCAATTCAATAAGTCCCCCAGCTGCCATTAACCAAGTGACGAGATCACTGACTGAGTGCTCGGATCACGTATCTGATGGATTTTGAAATGGTCATAACTCAGCCAAATTTTGATCAATGAACTTGAAACTTTAGGAAAGGTTTTAAATTAGCAAGCCAAATGTGTGCAAACAATTTTGAGTTCTTAGCTTAAAGTGTTCTCATTTTATGAAGACAATAGTGAAAAAGAGGGAGTGTCACGCCACGCCCACTGTAATTGGGCGTGGCTTACGAAACTTTCAGGAAATCTAAGTTTGACCCATTTCTATAATCTTTGAAATTTTGGTGCAATTTGGAGACGAATTACGTGAGTTATTAAGAGGTTGCGTGTGGGTAGTCACTTTTGGGCCAACCTGTATATAGTAAGATTAAAATTAACGATGTGAATTAAACCAGGAATACACTGGAGCGAGATCAACGACGGAACGCTTAGTGGCTACGTGGACAAAGTCCAATACACGACCCTGGCACAGGCCCAATCTGTGTGCTCTGAGAAACCAACCTGTCGTGGAATAACCCTGACCGGTGGAGTATACCGTCTGAACACGGTGGACTACGTTGAATACAGCGCGTCCAGCACGGTGTACCTGCGCGGCGGACCCGTGGCTGATGAGGTTACCTACGAGGTATCCTACCAGAACCACGTGTGGACAGTGGAGTCGCCATTCCAGATAGAAGGTTCTCTCGCTGACGGAGAAGATACAGGAAATACAGTCAGGCTCTCAAGGTTAGTCGGCACTTCTCAGTCAGTATAGTCTTGCATTTACTCTCAATCAAAGGTTTTTTGTCATTTTTATCTTGCACACACTCACAATTCCTTATTAAGAAAATGTGAGCTCCAATTCATCCTTTTTAATCCTAATCCCCACAGAGATGTATCGCAAACAGCCGCTGTAAGGCGGTAACAGAGACAGACGACGGCTGGTACACACTCCACACCAGTACCACCACAACACCCGGCCAGGGAATGAAGGTGTACATACTGTCAGGACAAACTGAACTAGCAGGAGGCAGAACTTGGGCCGTACGAGATAACTTCTCTCTGGACGGTCTGGGTAATGACGAGTTCGAGGATAAGACCACTGCTCTGATGAAATGTATCGACACTTCTAACTGTAAGGGTGTCGTGAAGAAGAACAATGGCAAGTTTGTGATCGCTACCAAGAGGAGTCTGAAACCTAAGAAACACTTCATCACCTACACCATGGGAAGGTATGGAACTTTATTTCATTATATAAGTAGTTTATAAGTTGACACGCATACAAAAATCTTAACGAAACGACAAAATAGCTAAAAAATAAGACTACTTACAAAAAGCGCAATCACTGAAACAGCAACCAACTTGACACGCGACAACGTGACACGCGACAAAATACGTGACACGCGACAAAACACGTGATACGCGACAGAACACGTGACATACCTCACATTACAGCACTGTGAGAGTATACCGAGACTACACCTGGACCATCATGACTGGCTACAGACTGACCGGTTACGCTGACAACAAGACTTACAAGACCCTGAAGAAGGCCCTGAGAGCTTGTGCCATCAATGACAAGTGTCATGGTGTGACCAAGGAGGCTAAGGGCAAGTTCAGGATCAACACTGGTCGATCTCCTGCTACTAAACGTGGCATGAACTGCTACATCAAGGGAGGCATGAAGCACTCTGTGCACTACATGACTTACGGAAGTGAGCAAACCAAATTATGTTTTTCTTATTGCGTTCGAATCACTCTGTGAAATAAGTGCCTGGGATATTTCTAAACTCACGGTCACAAAAAAGGAGTCAGAAATCATCTTCAATCAATTCTTGAAACTGAAAACTAATAAAAATTAATCTATATCCACTCCCAGACCGAGCATGGAGTGTGGTCGCTCCGTTCAGGATGAATGGACGAAAACTTGCTACAGAGAAGACCAGGGATGCAGCTATGGGCAAATGTATTACCACTAAAGGTAAAATGTGTAACAGTGTGTACACTGTGTAGTTAGTCAAGTCCCACAAAACAGACTTACCAACTTTAGCAATATCTATATTATTAAAGTTAATATCTACGTATACTTATAAGTCCTCTATCGAGAAAACGCTTGATAATAAATTAACTACCATGCCACTAGTATGAATATATTCACTAATTCAGCAAGATTGATAACCTCCTCCTACCCAGGCTGTGTCGGAATAACAAGGGACGAGCAGGGGTTATACCACCTTCACAACGGCCAGACTCTGATACAGGACCAGGGCTACATTACCTACCTGATCGGAGGACAGGCACTCTCCAGCAATGGTTACTTGTGGGACTACAGATACCACTTTAGTCTCCACGGCTACGACTCCAACGCTCAGTACAGATCTGCTAGTGAAGCGTTTGCTGCTTGCATCCGCTCAAAGACATGTGTGGGAGTAACTCAGGAGAGACCAGGTCATTTCAGACTGAACACTCACAGAGTACCCAGACCACACGGTGGTAGGGAATGCTGGATCAAGGGCAACCAACAAGTCAAGGCTCATTGTAAGTATTCCAAGACTATTCCAAGGCTTACAGTTTTTAAGTTCATTGCACAATACAAATTTGAGTTACTTCTACCAGTTTTGCATAGAAAAACTAATCCCATTATTCCCAGCGTACCCCTGGGTAATCCAGACCAACTACGCTACCAACTGGGTCCAAGACAAGCCTTACCCCACCCTGGACTCAGCAGAGAAAGCTTGTGCTGCTTCACCAGCATGCAAAGCAGTTAACCGCATGTCAGCCACCGAATACTACTTAGCTGAGGGGGACGGTGAGCGTGATGAGACTGGAACTACCACTTACGTCAAGGGAGGCCAGGAGCAAGACCAACAGAGTTTCAGCTGGCCTGCTCTAGGTTACACCTGGCATTACTCCGCTCCATTCGCACTCGGCAGAACTTACAGAACTTTCAACACTCTTCCTGAAGCTTTCAGAGGTAAAAAAGACGATAAAATATCACCCTAAGTTGCTTAAAACTACATCTGATGTATTAAATATGAAGTGCTGTGATAGTTATAGTTAAAGCAAGGAATTCTATTTCAAACCCAACTATTTCTCAGCGTGTGTGAGAGACTCACGGTGTAAGGGAATAACGGCTGACGCCCACCAAAAGTACCACCTGTCTCACGTGGGCATCCCCCGACCTGGCTTCAAAGCCCAGTCCTGGGTCAAGGAGTCCCCTTACAAGAACATGTACGTGTCACAACGTGTCTACTCCACTCACAAGGGAGCCAGACTGGATGGTTACTCCAGTGGTCAGAGCTACACTGCCCTGGTTACCGCACTGGAGGCTTGTGCTGCTTCTACTTCGTGTAATGGTGTGACTAAGGAAGGAACCAAGAGATACAGACTCAATACTGGTAACAGTCCCAGGAAGGTCAATAACATGGACTGCTACATCAAGGAGGGAAGCTTTGATGTTCAAAATGGTAAGTCGCTAAAAATACGAATCTTCACTCTCACAGCATTTTAAAATCTGAACGACATCGATTGACAATTCTAGAAACACAAACAAAACGACCAAACACAAAACAACAATTATAAAGAAATCGACAACAAACAAACACGTACAGAACTAGATCCAACAGTAACGATTTAATTGACAATAACTTTACTCACACGTCCAATCTTCTCAGACTACAGATTTACTATCTCCACCGGTTACGTCGGAGTCAACTTCGTCGACAAAAAGGTCTACTTAACTGCGGAAGGTGCGAAGTCAGCTTGTGCTGCTAATGTACATTGTGTCGGAGTTAGTAAACTCAAAGAGGTAGAATACAGGTAAGATCATTTCACTACTCATCTTAGAATGATGGAAAGCAGTAAGCAACCATTTCGCTAGTTAAAGAAAGAATAACAATTCGCTTACGGCTACAGGCGGGAAACAGAAAGATGATCCGTCTGCAATTGGAGTTTCTAAGCTCAGTCCTCTGAGTAGCATAGAATTCTTAACAGCAGCAAAAACAACGCGTAAACAAATGAATATAAGTCAATATTTAGAGGCCTTCCGTGAGCGCTCTGAAATCACGTGACCATGCGCGCCATCACGTGGGATATCATCAGTCTTATCGGGCGATATGAATGATACGCATAAATTATGAAGTATCAATGACATACGATTCCGAAACAGCACTTTACAATCTACAGTGTAGTGTGTACACAATCTACACGTTCGGGGTGTATAGTTGATTTAGATATAAATTAACTATGAGTGTATCGATGGTCATCGTATTTTTATTTTTATTTCAAAACAAGGGATTGTTGTTTTAATTATAATTTGATGAATGTCAGATTTACAACACTGTTTTCCCCACCAGACTAAACAAGGACGGAGAACTGAAGGGACAGAAGGGAGGGGTTGTCTACTCTAAGGACGAGTTCTACACCACCCAACGTATTGTTAACATGGACGATAAGGCTTACATCGGATACTCTCCCGCCGGACTGCGTAAGTATCTCTTCTTACACAGATAGAGTTGACCCAGCGAAGACATTTTGCATTTGTTATTTTAGATTTGTGTCAGTATATTAGTTAAATGTAAACGTAGAAATTTTACCTTAACATTTGTTCGTAAAGCGTTTGTACGTATCTAACAGTTTTACAATCACAGAGGGAAGCAAGCTTGGAACAGCTGCTAACATTGCTAAGGCAATGGAGCTCTGTGAAGAGAAGCACGGATGTAACGGGTTCGAGTGGAACGGAAAGACTTACGTGATATACCACTACAACAGGATGGTCACACCTAAAATAGGACATGTTGCTTATGTCTACAGCGGAATTAAGGTTTGTAGTACTTACTGAGTACTCAGTATAGGGTGCTCGGTTGCAGAGACAAATTGCTTTTTTCTTAACTCTTACGGAGAAAAATGAAATATCCTCTATCGAAGTGAAATAAAATTATATCATGATTAGAAATTACTTAATTCGAATAAGAAATAAATTTTGCATTCATCTGGTTCAAGCTAAAATTGCCTACCCTTGCAGCTGACAAGTGAAAATTATCTGTGGGCTAAGATGACGAACTACAGACTGACAGGGTATGATGATAACAAGACTTACACCAGTTTGTCTGATGCCACCAAGGCTTGTGTTGCCTCCCCAACTTGCAAGGTAAGATATTATCACTCACTCTGAGTCAACTTTAAATCGACATGAAATTGTATTTATAGTCGAAGGATGATCTCAAGATTTTTGTGAGAAGACAATCTAAATGTATTTTTCTTAATTCTTTTCAAATAGTAAAAATATCAAGATTAAAATCATTTTATACAAATTACAAATCATGATGTAACAGTTAATAGTATATTGGTGGAAATCATCTACATTTATGAAATTTGGAATATTGTAACTTGCACTATCGTCAATGATTCTGATCAAATTTTGTCTGTTATTTCCTAGTTCCTATTTCTTATGAAGGTCATGACATCAATAACTTCATCGTGACAATTAAAAATAGCACTGCAGAAATGTCAAAAAATTGTCCCCCTGCTCCGCTTTTGAACAAGACGCCGTTCTTATAAAGTTGTCTATAAAACTGGAGATCCTGCGAGAAATCAGATTTAGGTCCAGGCCAGGTTTCGTCCCACTGGTTATGGGCACCAAAGTCACACTCACAAGAAGGGCCAAATAGATAGTGACATGACATGTTCTCTCCCTCGTAAGTAGATCCGTGAAGCGAGACTTGAGCTGATCTGGTGGAGTAGCTCCCCAACTCAGCAGTGCTCCATCTTGTACTGGTGATACAGGTCTTACCGTAACAGTAGCAGTGGGTCCAGAAGGAGCTTACATCAAGATGGCAGTCGTTATGTGACCGACACCCTGTTTTAGCGAGTTCACACCTGTACTCTGGGAGGGAGTGGAGATTGCTGATCAGTCTGAACCGCTGAGTAAGAACCCCTCCCACCGACTTCTCATCACAACCCTTAACCACGAACCCCTCGTAGAACTGCTCCAGGTTGAGAGCTTTGGAGAAGTACTCCGTCCCCAGGAACCTGTTCTTTAGGAGCAGAGTAAGGGGTTCTAAAGTCACTCTGATATGTTGCTCTTCATCTGTATCACTCCGGATAAACTTGTAAAGGTCATCAGCGGTCACATCCCCCTCGGTCATATTGAGTCTTGTTTCTGCAGTTCCTCCGTATACCTCGTAATATTCAGAGGTTTTTAGGGCCGCTACCTCCTTATACGTATGGTCTGAGAATTGACAGAATGTAAGTCCACCATTCTTTAGTTTGAGGCAAGCTGCTGCACTTAGCTGATCCACAGTGTATCCGGAGGACTTCTTAGCAAACACGAAGTTGTGGACTTTGTTCCCGCTGTACATCCCCTTCATGTAGTGGGTCCCGTATTTTCTCAGGAATGTTTGGTATTCTATCCAGCTGTCAGCAACAGACGGTTTCTTGATCTTATCTGCCAATATTTTAAAATCTCGGACCAGATCTTCGCTGAGTTCAGCTTTAGCAAGGCAGTCCGGAAGAAGAGTGGTAGAGGATAGTTCCCGGCTGATTTCTATACCTGCTCCAACCACCTCCAGATCAGTGGAAATGCTCAGAGAGACGTATAACAAGGTTTTGTAAAGGTTGCGAGGCATTATTTGGTACTGCTTTAGTCCTAGATCTTCTCCGACGAACCGATAGAATTCCCCTGGGTTGGTAAAACTGAGTATTCGGGCCCTGTTTTTGGTGCTCGTCTGTTTGACGAAGCAGCTATCTGGTAGGTTCCTAAATATAGATTTCCCCTCGGCTGATAGCTTGTAAACTGGGGTATCAGGAAGATAAAAACCTCGGCCCAGGTGAGGCTTTTCTTTACATTCAGCTGAATGGAATAATACCAATGCGATCACCAGCAACATAACAAAGACGGAAGCGAATCCAGAATAGGATTTCTGTTCTCTTGAAAATGTAGGTACTCAGTCAAAAGTGGTTGACGAATTAGATAGGATATTTTCGGAAATGTTAGGCGGGATTGCTATCTCTTGAGAGGTTGAGTCATGGGTTGAGAGAGAGAGGGTCAGGTTTCACAGCTTGTTAACCACTTCTGACATATTTAGACATCTGCAACCATTTCAGTACGTGAGACGTGTTGGCTTATCTAGGTTGGTATGTGAAAAAACTCGCCTATAAGTATAATCCCGTGCAGGCTACACAAAATAAAAATACATCGATCTTCAATAGATGCAAAATGTGAATCAATTTAGCAAATCGGATTTTAACGGAACTCGACAAAGATCTTATTTCATGGTTGAATGGTATCAATAGAAAGTCTCCTGATGAAGTGGTGCAAATTTTGCAATATTTTGGGTGGATGATTTAATGGAATTAATTAGATCCACCGGGAATACCTTAAATTTCGCTAAAATTGTGAGCAAAATCACCATAATATCTCAGTTCATGTAATAGATAACGTTCTCAGGACTAAATATTGTAATTTTATACAGGGTGTTACCAAGGAATTTAACCGATTCCGAACAAATAACAACGACCGGCCTGTTCGTGCCAACGGCAACTACGCTGCCTACATTCGTGGCGACCGTTACGAAGTTATCGACTGTAAGTATCTTCTCATCTTCCAAAACTCAAGTTTTGTCTTTCAGTCAGCAGGTGCAATTTGAGTTTGAAATCATAAGGAATGACAAAACTCATAATGTGTTGATACTTGCTGACCAATAACTGGACTCTGTTTCAGATATCTTCTACTCCGAGAAGTCTGGTTACAGACTAACAGGAGACATCGGCAAGACGACCTACAAATCCAAGGAGGAAGCAGCAGCAGCATGCAAGAAGTCAGCTGTATGCACAGGTATTACTCTGGACCAGACCACCAAGAAATATAGGATCAACTCCGGTAACTCTCTTGAACCATCAGTTGGTGAGACCTGCGTTCGTGCGAGGAGGTATCAAACCAACAGTGGTTGAGATGACAATATCCTACGGAGGCTTCACTTGGAAGAGTAAGACTCACCACGCTCTCACCGGATACGTTAACGGCAAAGTATTCAACAACAGGAACGATGCTCTGAACGAGTGTATTCGCCTCACTAGATGCCAGGGTGTCACAAGAGAGCGCACCAATAGGTTCCGCCTCAACACCGGCAAAGTCGCTGAGCCCTCCAAGAAGGCCACGTGCTGGATCAAGGGACCAGGATCTGTAAACGTTGGTGGGGCAACATGGGAGGTGAACATTGATCAGTTCTCCACTCACAGACTAGACAAGATTGACTTTAAGGACCGCCGCATTGCTCTGAAAACTTGCAAGAAGAACAAAAAGTGTAAGGGCGTGGTCAAGACAGACGAAGGAGTGTACTACTTAGTGGGAGAAGGAGAACCGACCAAGAAACCAGGATTCACTCTCATCGAGATCAGCGGAGAATGCGAATCCTTGAACGGTTACGTCTACTCGTACACTACGGACTACATCTATATAACGATCGTTGACAAGAAAATTTACACCACGATAGTAGATGCAGGAAGAGCTTGTGCTAAGAACCCCAACTGCAAGGCTGTCAACAAGCTCGGACCTCACAAATTCCAGTAAGTTTGGTCATTTATCCTAATTCCTTCTCAATCATTCCAAATCACGTTTACTTGTCAGAACAATCCTGGGCCCGATGGGGAATTACAATTTCAACATTTTTGATTTCGTTAGTTTACAGTATAAGCAATGAACTGTACCAAGTAAAATTATCAACAAGACTGCATTTCTGACATACCAACCCCACAGACTGGCTGGAGGAAGTGATGTTAAGGAGGTGAAAGGAGCAGCCACCTTCACGAAGGGAGGCTACGACTACACCAGCTACTCCATCTACCTGGCTGACAAGATATGGGATGTCAACTCTCCGTACACTCTAACAGGACCGCTGGCTGATAACAAGATCTATAACACCAGGATCACTGCTCTCAGAGCTTGTGTCACTAACTCCCAGTGTAGTGGTCAGTTATTTACTTACTCTATTGGTATTTGTTAACATATTTTTAATAGGAACTGGCGGTTGTCTTCGGGGTAAGATTGTTCAAGTTTATCTGTTTCTTTTTCAAACTTTACTAAAGGTCATGATACACATTTTATTATATCACTAACTCATTGTTCTTCTGCAGGAGTCACTTTGACCGACGGCAAGTACAGATTATACAAACACGAGAAGATGACAGAGAAGGCAGGATCAATCACTTGGTTGAACAAGGGTGAAGTTGAGGCTGTCCACGGATATCTCTGGGACGAAGAGATGGGTGAAACCCTGACTGGCTACTTCAACAAAAAGGTCTACACTAACCGCAACACAGCACTCAAGGTGTGCTCTGCAAGTGGAAAGTGTACGGGAGTAACAAAGGAAGGACCTAACATCTACAGGTGTAACACCGGAACCACCCTCAAACCCAACTCTAAACGTACCGCCTGGATACAGAAGACCTCTGTTGTCACTCACCAGAAGGTTCTCTTCTCAGTACTCCCCAGTTACACTCTCGACAAGATTGAGAAGACTAATCGTGGTAGTGAGGCGGCTGCTGCTGTTGCTTGCATCAAGAAGCCTGATTGTACTGGATTTGTGAAGAGAGGAAGTGCCTACTACATCGCTCTGGGATGGACAGTGTTCTCAGATGAGAACTCTGTCAGTTATGTCAGGAACGATATGAAGCTAGCCTTCGTAACCTACTCTCTGTACCTGAAGGAATATTACTGGCAAGTCAAGGCACCTTACATCCACAAGAACCTGAAGAAGGACGCCTACAAAACTCTACCTCAAGCTCTGGAGGCCTGTGTCGCTGATCCCAGCTGCAAGGGTATATCCTTCGTCACCAAGAAGGGTAACTACTACCTGGCCAAATCTACTGAACTGAAGATAGGACACGGCAGGACGTACAACAAGGGAACCAAGGCTGTTATCGGGGACGGTTACATGTGGACCAGATCCGGGGACAACAACAAGATTGATGGAGATTATCTGGACTCCTCCACCTACGGTACACTGACTGCTGGTCTCAAGGCTTGCTCCAAGAAGCCCGCCTGTACAGGTGTTACTAAGATCAATAACCACAAGTTCAGATTGGGCAAGATAGAGAGGACCGCTCGCAGGAACGGATACTCTGCGTATCTGAGAGGAAGTAGCTCTGTTACTTTCAGACAACGTGTCTGGACTGAAGTTACAGGATTCAACCTAGCTAAACCTACCACCACCTTCAAGGACCTGAAAACAGCTCTGTTCGCTTGCTCCAAGTCTAAGACTTGTACTGGAGTGGATAAGACACCTGAAGGAAAGTTCATGGTGGCTACAAGTACTGAATTAGTGTCTAGGGACGGTGGTTCTTGCTGGCTGAAGGGTGGAGCAGGCTATGTACCTCAATTCTCTTATGACAGTAAGTATCAATTGTTAAACCATCATCAATCATTAACCTGTTATTTTCTAAAGTTTAGTTTAAATTCAATTTTTGCTTCTCAGCATCACCAAAATAAACATACGACCCTCATTCCCCAAGCATGAATAAAGTAATAAATTCTAGAATTTACATATTTTACAACACGCTTCAATAATAGAAAATACCCCAAAGTGATATATTCAAGCCATTTAAGCGTGACGGAAGTAGCACAGTTCACTTTAAACTGTGCCTCTAACTAAAACCTCATTCTAACCTCACTATAACCTCATTCTAACCTCCACCCTCCCAGGTACCGAGTGGAACTACTACGACGGCTACAAAACAGGAGGTGTGCTCAAAACCAAGAAGTCAGTGTTTACAGACCGGAACACTGCTCTGTCTGCTTGTGTCCGTCACCCGATGTGCCAGAGTGTACACTTCGTCCACAAGAAGTATTACTTAAGGACGGGAGAGAAGGTTTCTGATGCTCTCGGCGAACAAGCCTGGTTACTTGGAAGTAAGTATGATCTGAGTGACTGTTTGTAGTTAGCAAATTGGGACTCTTGGCAGATTGACAACAAAAAATGATTCCATGAGTTTTAATGAGACATATCTGAATTTTTGACAAGTATTTACGTATAAACAATAATAATAAATAATTTACGTATAAATAATAAAGATAACTAACATTATATTATTCCCCAGAAACTACACTAGACCTGAGTGACCTGACCATTGTTCACCACCACCTCCACTGGCAGACTCTCAAGTACGTGAAATACGGAGAACCCATCAAGGGTGCGGACAAGTTCCCAGATACGGACCACGCTACAGCCGCTTGTATGGTAACACCTGGCTGCACTGCTGTGTATCACGACTTTAAGGCTCACAAGTACTCGCTGATGACGGGAACCAGCAAGGTTCCTTATACCAAGTCAAGTAAGTGTCATCAATAGGGTTAATATTTACTTAACTGTGCTTTTTATTTTTAGTTTTATCTTATTTGTTGATTATTATTAATCTTTGCTCGGTATTTCTTGGTAAAGATTTTCTTGGTATTTATTGGTTGTCTACTTTAATTTTAAAAGTACTGGAACGGAAACAATGCCAATAAATAGTAGTGTCACACTTACTTGGTTTTTATCGGTAATTATTTCCTTGGTATTTCCTGAATGTCTACTTTCAAAGTATTGAAACGGAAATAATGTCAATAAATAAACTTTGTTTAAAGCAGTTCAACTAAGATTCACACTTTTTCAGGAGTTATATCGTCGATCAAGCGTCTACCATGCGGTGACGGTAAGTGTCAAGGAGTGAAGAGCGGCAAGGTTGTGACAATAGACCTCAAACATTGCTACCAGATAAAGACAGTGGAGATCTACAATAAACAGTCCTGCTGTTCAAAGAGTGGCGGAAACGTTGTGGTAAGTCATTCAAATGGGATGAACTGTCTCAAAATATAATGAATTGCAAGACTTAGTCAATGTTTTTATCGATTTGAATTATTTTCAACTCTAGAGGTTAATCCGTCTCCCTTAACTCCAAATCCCACCAACTCCTTTCCCTCTGGTCATTTTAATTTCACTTAGTTCCTCGTTAAAAGAGTTAACTTCCTTACAGGTTAAAGTCGGGAAGAGTACTTGTAACACAGTGCATATGAGCGGCAAGACCTCTACAGTGCGATTCGACTGTGCTACTAACACTCAGGGCAAGGTAATGACCATGACATTCAACGACATTGGAGACATCAACATTGAGGGACTTTACCTTCTCTTTAAGGGTATACAAGAATGTGATTAAAGGAAGAATAAGAAGAAGAAAAAAGAAAATCGAAAAATGTTGACCCTCATTTTATATAATTGTGTAATTTTTGTACTCCACCAATGATTCAAAAGTATTTTTAAATCGTTTTTTCCGTGACCATAATGTTCGAGATATCTATTTGAGATTTTTCTTTTTAAAAGATATTGTTAATTTGGAATTTTAAACATTTGACATTAGCAGGCAAAGCTCTTATAATACTTAATACAGATTGAGATTGTAACTACATGATCTATAATAATGCTGCTGAACATATTGTATAACTGCCAATTTCCCCTAATCGATTGTTTAATTTGTTCTTTTTATAATTTCGTGAAAGTTCAAGCCAAATACAAATTGAGAGTCAAAAGTTGGCTGGATCATTATTTACACTTTTAACAACAACTTTTCTGGATGTCTGAAAATGTTACATGATCAATTTTTTATACGATTAAAAATTTTAGAAATTAATCTAGAAATGAGTGATACAGATCTTTTGGGTCGGATCGAAATCTCGACAAAACCATAAAATTATCGCAGTACTTTAACTTAGGGTCGCGGATTGTAATCTCGATAAAACCTTCAAAATGTCGCCGTACTTATCACAATATTTCTTCAAATAATCTAAATTCCCCTAAGTTGAATTCCCAGCAATCAAGTCTCAGAATCATTCTCATTTAATACACACTGTATTATGTATAACCCGGTATATTATTAGATTATTACAAATGGAGACTGTTATAAACATACTGGTAACGTTCGCATAATCCACGTGACAAACCGCATGACAAACCACTGTTCACGTGATCCCTGGAGCATTTTACTGAGCTTTTACAGCCACGTCCTGAATTTTCCTGCATAATATAACACTGTACAGATGAAGACTGTTTGAGATGAGCCATAAACCACGTGGCCACTGAACCACAGACCACGTGACCTTGAACCGGCACCCCTCACTGAGTTACACTCTCCTGCTCCAGGTCCTGGCTGCAGGTGGAGCGGATGCCACTGTCAGGGGTCCCCATGTCGCTGGATCTGTCTGTTGGTGTTGTGGCTGAGGGGTAGTCGTCTCCTGTGTAGCACTCCAGATCAGTTAGATCCACTGCTGTCGGCTTCACGAACCGTACTACCTAGGAAGGGTTGGAATAAAACTAGAATATTCTGGAAATGTGAGATGTAAATCTGAAACCTTTTAAAAGTTTAATAGTTCCAGGAAACACTTCAACACTTAAGCTGCATGAGAATTTTGATTTTTGAACAAAAGAAAAATTGGGTATCGACGAAAACCTTAGCAAATATGGCATACAAATTTTTTAAAAGATCCTGTTTGATGAAAAATAAAGCGGGGAAAATTAAAAATATTGAAGAAATAATACCTCTTCCTGTGGCTGAACATCAGCGTATTTGTTAATTATCGCCTTGGCGTTAGACCAGTTTATAGATTGAGTCTTCCTTCTTTCTTTTCTGAACTTCTTTCCTTTCTTTTTGAATTTACCTGCTATTTCCTTTAAAAAACAATTTGTTAATTGTAGAAGCGATAAACTGGTTTTTAAAACTGCAGAGTGTATTTGAGACTGAATAATGTCAGAATTCAACGACTACACCCTGGCCGTGGCATTATGGTAGACAATTACATTCCACGTTACAAAAACAGAAAATAGTTGCTCACCAGGATGTTCAACTTCCCAACTTCTCTTTGATGAGTTTCCCACTCCTCTTGAGAGTTGAAGTCCAAAAATGTAAGTTTCCCCACTTCTTTTAAGGCAGTCTCCTATGAATAAAGATAATTTTATGAGCAATTAACAATTGAAAATTTGTAGGAAATTCAAAATACTCGTAATTCTTATTAGTACAACGTCAGAATCATGTATTATTCAACAATAACGAGTTTGTTACCCTCTCTTTCTGGCAGGTTGCGTTCATAACAGCAGCTAGTTTCCTCTCGTAGTCTTCTCGTCGCTCTCTTTTGGCGTTCTCCTCTGCCTCCGCCCTCCTTCTCTCCAGCTCGGCCCTTTTCTCTGCTGCTTCGTTTGCTATTCTTTCTCGCTCCTCCTGTTCTCGTGCCAACCTTTCCTCTTCTTCCCTGGAAATAATGAAATGATTAAAGGAGAAATCACAAGTTAATCATAAGACAGCCATTAATGTGTGGGCAGTTTTGGGATTTGTAGTTTTGGAGGCTTTGAGTTTGTAGTTTTGGAGGTTTTGTCGCGTTAAGATCATTGCGAACAATACTAGATAAATGAAAGTACACTGAAGTTCTGATTTGATAAGAAAGGTGTATGTTTTGATGATAATTAGATGTTCTGGGGCCCCAATCACCGTCAGATCTTCAAGTTAACGACCAATGGTTGTCACTACTATTTATTCCTCATTCTCTAATAGTAATCTCAACCTTTCTTCTTCTTCCCTTGAAGTCGTGATATAACTTATACAGTACTTCATACCATCAAAAATCAACAATATATTAGTCATTTTTCGTGGATAATTGTAGAAGCTCTGCTACCTTGTGATTAATATAATAACTATGAACCGACACATTTACTAATAAAAATTGTACTAAAAAAAGATGAACCAAATAAAAGAGAAAGATTTGCTGATAAGAAATATGAACCAGCGGTGGCACAGTAAGTAGAGTAATAGGTCGTTAACCTAGGAATCGTAAGTCCAACCCCCAATCAGGCGATCACCGTCAGCTTTCAAGTTTACCGCCAACGATGTCACTTTTATTTTCCCCTAAAACTTTTAAAAACCGATGTTTTTTTCTCAAAGAACAAAGACATCACCAATGTATCATACGAGAGCCAGTAGGTTGCAGAAACAGATATAGTGATGATAAAGACAAATCGTTGGTAAAGACGAATCCGCAAATGATCTGATAAGACTGTCCCTGTACCTGATGCGTTTTAATCTTTCCTCCTCCTCTAATCTCAACCTTTCCTCTTCTTCCCTTAAAGTCATGAGATAACTTATAGAGTACTTCATTTCATTAAAAATCAATAATATATTAGTCATTTTTTGTGGATAATTGTAGAATCTCTGCAACGTTGTGATTAATATAATAACCATGAACCGAGACATTTACTAATAATAAGAAGAACCGAGGAAATATGTACTAATAAGATATAAATGTACTGATAAGAAAGATGAACCAGCGGTAGCACAGTAAGTAGAGTAATAGGTCGTTAACCTAGGAATCGTAAGTTCAACCCCCAATCAGGCAATCATCGTCAGCTTTCAAGTTTACCGCCAACGATGTCGCTTTTATTTTCCCCAAAAATCAAAAAACATCACCGATGTATTTTCCCAAAGAACAAAAACATCGCCATATTAATGTATCGTACGAGAGCCAGCAAGATACAGAGAAAGATGTACAGATGATAAAGATGAATCTGTACAGATGATCTGAAAAGACTGTCCCTGTACCTGATGAGTCTGAGTCTTTCCTCCTCCTCTAATCTCAACCTTTCCTCTTCTTCCCTTAAAGTCATGAGATAACTTATAGAGTATTACTACTTAATGTCATTTTAAAAAATTCCTAGCTTTAATGTATCCATTTTGCTCCGACGACACTGTCTGCTCTGTCTCGAGTCAAATTCGGCAAATAGATTCGATACTGACCGGCTGTTAAAGAGCTATCAGCCGTAAAATTCATTGCAATCATTGTAATCATTGTAATCATTGTGATCATTGTGATCATTGTGATCATTGTGATCATTGTGATCATTGTGATCATTGTGATCATTGTGATCATTGTGATCATTGTGATCATTGTGATCATTGCGATATTTTATTCATTGCAGTCATTTTAATAATTGTAATCATTGTGCTCGTTGTAATCATCGAACGAGAGCAGGCAGGTTGCAGTAAAAGATTTACCGATCGTGATGATAAATATAAATTGAGGAATGTACTCTGATAAGACTTTTCCAATACCTGATGCGTTCCTCTTCTTCTCTTTTCAACCTTTCCTCTTCTTCCCTTAAAGTCGTGAGATTTTTTAATTTCATCACAAGTCAATTAAAATGACCATTTTGCGTGGATATTGTAGAAGGTTTGTGACGTTTAGATCATCCCAAATAATATACGAAAAGAAGACAGATAAGATAAGAAAGTTGGCCCGATAAGAAATATGTTCCGGTTGTAGATCAGTTGGTATAGCAATAGGGCGTTAACTTTTCAAGTTAGCCTAGGGATAGTGTATTCAAGGCCAAGTCCCGTTTCACAATCAACATATGTATTATTTTTCCCCAAAAAAAAACATAAACTATCACCGATGTGTCATCATACGAGAGCCTTTAGGTACAAAAAAAGATGTACTGATGATAAAGACGAATCGACAATTACCGTCAGCTTTCAAGTTTACCGCCAACGATGTCGCTTTTATACATTTTAAAACTGATGTATTTTTCCAAACAACTAAGACATCACCAATGTATCATACGAGAGCCAGTAGGTTGCAGAAAAAGATATACTGATGATAAAGACGAATCGACAGATGATCTGATAAGACTGTCCCTGTACCTGATCAGTCTAAGTCTTTCCTCCTCCTCTTTTCTCAACCTTTCCTCTTCTTCCCTTAAAGTCGTGAGATAACTTATAGTGTACTTTATTTCATCAAAAATCAATAATTACTCGATTAGAGAAGTATATACTTTGGTGATAAAGATGAACTGACAAATGTACTCATATTAGAAAGGTACCGGTGTTAGCTCAATAGGTAGAGTAAAATGTTGTTAACATAAGGATCGTCGTCAGCTAAGTTAACTATCACTGATGTATCATACCCAAAAAGAAAACCACCATCTAACACTACAATCTTCACCAGAATTCAAATGAGCCTAGCTCCTGCAACTATCAAAATGCTAATATGTCACCTACAAACTAGCCCTCATAATACGAACTTAGTTTTTACGCCTAGGTGGAATTTTTTCGTGTATCTGGGTTACTTCTATTATTACCGTTAGTTAGCATGTATAGCTTAAGTTATCTAGTTATGTTTTACATAACTTTCGTTATAGACACGTATTCGTAGTATCTCTTCATTGACATTTTGTGAATTAACTTGACTGAATTAACTCAACTGATATGAATACTAATATTTATTAACATTGATGCAACAATTTTGCCCCGACTACACAGTTATCTCTGTCTTGAGACAAGTTTATTATAATCATTGTAAATATCGTGATCATTATAACCTTTGTAATCATTGTAATCAATCATATTATTTAATTGCTATGCTTGTAATCATTGTAACTCTTGGCCTTGTAATCATTATAACATTGTATAATCATAATTCCGTTGTAATCATTGTAATCTTTGTAATCATTGTAATCTTTGTAATCATTGTTATCATTTTAACTCTTGGCCTTGTAATCATTGTAATCATTGTAATCTTTGTAATCATTGTAATCATTGTAATCTTTGTAATCATTGTTATCATTGTAACTCTTGGCCTTGTAATCATTGTAATCATTGTAATCATTGTACAATAGCTTGTTAGTACAGAAAAAGATGTACTGGTGATAAAGATGAATCGACAGATGATCTGATAAGACTGTCCCTGTACCTGATCGACTCGGAGTCTTTCCTCCTCCTCTTTTCTCAACCTTTCCTCTTCTTCCCTTAAAGTCGTAAAATGACTTATAGAGTTATAGAGTACTAAATTTCATCACAAGTCGATCAACATACAGCTATTTCGCTTGGATAATGAATATTGTAAAATCTCTGTGGCGTTTATATGAAATGAAATGAAAGGTGTATGTTTTGATGATGTTAATGATTTGACAAATTTATTATGTTGACATGTACTGATAAGAGAGTTGGCCTGATATGAGATATCTACTGATAAAGTTATGGTACTATGTATATCAGTGTGGCTATCTCTTGGCTATTATTTGTTCAACTTCAACACAAGGTTTTACCTTGCGGCTCACTTTGCCGGCAAGCCTGCTAACTGTAACACCAGATGCAGTTAAACAGTTTATGTCCACTCATCAATTTAAGTTTTTTGTCCCCCTTTCCTGTGTAAACAGGGTCAGCTGGAGGTGGTCTGTGGTAAACTGCTATCTAGTGCTACAGGAATACAAGTACTGATTAGAAAGATGTTCCGATATGATCGCTGGGTTACAGGTAGAGTGATATGGCGTCAACCTAGGGATCGTGGAGCCCCACTAACCGTCAAGTAGCTACGACTAACCGTAAAGTAGTTGACTACCACTGAGGTATTATATAATACGAGAGATGGCAGGTAATTGCAAACAAAATTAGCTGATAAAACATATTAATTGGCAGATATAATGTACCTGATGAGTCTCAGTCGCTCCTCCTCCTCTCTTCTTATTCTATCCATTTCTTCTAGTTTTATTCTTTGTTTTTCCAATTCCTCCAGCTCCAGTTTCCTCCTCAATATCTCGGCATCTCGTTCTTTCTCCCTCCTCTCCCGCTCGATCTCTTCGGCTGTTTTTACTTCCACATGCTCAAGCTTTTCTCTTGCCAATTCTAAGATTGACTTTCCTGAACGCAAAGTTAGTTATGCAAGGTCATAAATTTAACAAACCTTCATCAAATCACAGAAACTTTTATTAGAAAACCATAATATCGATATGCTAAGTTTTCATGATGAATCTTGATAACCGTATAATTGGGGAAGACTTGTTAAAGCCATGGGAAAGCAAACAGGGCATTTCGGAGAATTTTAACCACCAACCTTGTTCAGGAGCCACTTCAATCTTAATGCAGTAACTACTACTGTTACCAAGGTAACTACTACTGTTACCAAGGTAACTACTACTGTTACCAAGGTAACTACTACTGTTACCAAGGTAACTACCACCAACCTTGTTCAGGAGCCACTTCAATCTTAATGCTTCTTCTGCGAAGGAGGCGGTGTCTGGCAATCGTTATAAAGTCATCGTTATTAGCCGCAGCGAGTGCCTAAAATAATGGCTGTCAATTTGGATCATGATATTTAGATTATGATATTGTGTTAAATGTTCATTGGGTAAGAAAGAAACGCTGTTCATATAAAACGAATGAAACGGGGTATTTAAATCCCGCTCATACATAATATGAATATTTCTTAACCACCGAACACAAGGAAGATAGTTACTAGTTAATCATGTCAGATCGGCTGACTGTTAGTGATTTGATAAAATGTGTAAATTAAAATATAAAGGCAACATAAAAATCCTTTATTCGTAACCACACTAATCAAAGTAATTACAGATACCGTAGATTTTAATATTGTTACAAATTAAAAATAAATTCTCATAACCTTACATCTGAGAAAGATCACAGTTTTACTGATTGACTAACTACACTAACTGTATTAAATTAAGTTGAAGTGGTCTAACTCTCCTGGAATTCTGACTAGGTATTCCCTCGCTAAATAACGAATAATGACATAATGCTGGTTTTCCGAAGCATTTGTTAGAAGTTATCGTCATATCCGTAAGGGCTGCGATCACCCCCGGATCGCAGGTTGCATGCCTATGTTTTGTTCTACTATGTCGTGCTGCGGAATAGGCGCAGGGACCACCTACTGACTAACCCACGATTGTATCTGATACTGGATACAATACAATTGCATTATCGTCATATTTTACTAGGGTTACTTACGTGTTAATCTAGAACTTTCCAGTATCTACAAGAATTACATGGCAGGTATCTAAAATAAGTTGTCGGTATCACGCAGGAGGGTAGTTGATCATGTCAGATCGGCTGACTGTTAGTGATTTGACAAAATTTGAATTAAAATACCTATTATAGAGGCAACATAAAAATCCTTTATTCGTAACCACACTAATCAAAGTAATTATAGATACCGTAGATTTTAATGTTGTTACAAATAAAAAATATATACTCATATCTATACATTTGAGAGAGGAATCACAGTTTTACTAAATGCACTAACTACACTGACTGCAGTATTAAATTAAGTTGAACTCTCCTGGAATTCAGAATCGCTTTTGGATTGTAAAGCTCCATGATTTTACCGACCTACCTAATGTACAGTAATACTAATTACTCAATATATTATGGATAATCGCACAATTCAGGTTTGCCGAAACATTCGTTAGAATTTTAGAAGCTATTGTCATATCTTATTGGGGTAACCTACGTAACAATCAAGAACTTTCCAGTCTCTACAAGAATTACATGGCAGGTATCTAAAATGCGTTGTCACGCAGGCAGGCTAAAGCTTGACACACTTGCACTAGTGTTGTCCACAGCACATCACCATAGTTACTGTCAACAAACGTATCTTTAAACAAGGTTGTAGTACAGGACACAGGTATAAACATATTTCATATACTGTGGTGAGTTTAACTCACCTTAGACTTAATGACTCCAAGTTGTCTGGTGGCAGGTGGATTGAAAAATTTACTTATGAATACTTCATTTGCTTGGGAGCTTCTGATTGACTAATTCAGTCGCACTAATTGCTAATTGCACTAATAAGGTGAAGCTCTTTACAGCCAGGTATTTCAGATTAACCATCCATATTGGTTTCTAAAAATAGGCAAGCTACCTGCTAAATGACTGCCACGTAAAACAATGAATTGTCAAAAATTCCAGCCATCAAAATGTCCAACAGTTTTCTGTTGATTTGTTATACTATACACATTCTTTTACCTTTAAAAACTGAACGGTGAACTAGGTCTTCGTAAACTGGAAAGTGGAATATTTACTGTTTCCTTGGTTCGGGCAACAATGTCATCAAGTATTTTTGACTCGGCAGAATTTATACGGATTTATTTCTCAACGTAATATTTACGAATAATGTCACGTTTTTAAAAATCAGATACCAATAATCATGACGTATTTGTGGATCAGAAATATCTTGAAACAACAAAAAAGCCCGTCATTATCCCGAGATGATGTATTTATTTGTCGAAAGAGAGAACTGAGAAGTAAACAAAGAAATCGTCCGCGTCGACCAATTGAAATCATTTGAACAAACAACGACATGCTATGATTGGACATGTGATTGAGATAATAAAGGTTGAAGATTGAGGAGGATGAATTTGGGGACTGGGGACAAGTCTGTTTTGTCACGTGACAGCAGTTTGAAAATTTCGATTGTTGCACAAATCCAATTTCCATCACGTGGCAAAACAAAACCTGCGCCACCCCGCCACCATAACAGCAAATTAACTCATTTCAAGAATACACGGTTAAAGACCTTCCATCCTGATGATCCTGTAGCACCAGCATCAGCCATATCCTCATTATCCTGGTATAATCGTTAGAAGGTAAACGAGAGTTGAGATAACTATTCTTACAACGACCTGGTAACCTTTAGTAATCCCTTAGTACTTTTATCCTGGTAACTTACTGGTAACTTACTGGTAACTTACTGGTAACTTACTGGTAACTTACTGGTAACTTACTGGTAACTTACTGGTAACTTACTGGTAACTTACTGGTAACTTACTGGTAACTTACTGGTAACTTACTGGTAACTTACTGGTAACTTACTGGTAACTTACTGGTAACTTACTGGTAACTTACTGGTAACTTACTGGTAACTTACTGGTAACTTACTGGTAACTTACTGGTAACTTACTGGTAACTTACTGGTAACTTACTGGTAACTTACTGGTAACTTACTGGTAACTTACTGGTAACTTACTGGTAACTTACTGGTAACTTACTGGTAACTTACTGGTAACTTACTGGTAACTTACTGGTAACTTACTGGTAACTTACTGGTAACTTACTGGTAACTTACTGGTAACTTACTGGTAACTTACTGGTAACTTACTGGTAACTTACTGGTAACTTACTGGTAACTTACTGGTAACTTACTGGTAACTTACTGGTAACTTACTGGTAACTTACTGGTAACTTACTGGTAACTTACTGGTAACTTACTGGTAACTTACTGGTAACTTACTGGTAACTTACTGGTAATACTAACACCCCCATTAACGTCCTAGGTGACCTGGTAACTCCCTGGACCTCAAATAATCCCTGGCAACACCTGGCAACGCCTGGAAACCCCTGGAAACCCCTGGCAACCCCTGGAAACCCCTGGAAACCCCTGGCAACCCCTGGAAACCCCTGGAAACCCCTGGCAACGCCTGGAAACCCCTGGAAACCCCTGGAAACCCCTGGCAACGCCTGGAAACCCCTGGAAACCCCTGGAAACCCCTGGAAACCCCTGGCAACGCCTGGAAACCCCTGGAAACCCCTGGCAACCCCTGGAAACCCCTGGCAACCCCTGTCCACCTTTTTTTAACTTAACGTAACCTTCAGGCAACATTCTAATAACCTCAACCTCCACCTACCAAATATCTATTGATCACCTCCTGGGTTCTTCTTGGTAACCTCCTTTGCTGTCCTCACTCTTACTCCACGTAACACCCTGGCAAACTTTCCTACAACTACTGGTGACCCCTTGTCAATCCCAAGGACTATCGGTAATGTGGAAACAACTAAAAGTTTAACTTTTACATTCCACATTTAAATGTTTTACAGGGGTATGCACAGGGCTTCAATGGTCTATCATTCACTCTATCCTATAATACTCATTTTGACCACAGCCCCATACGTAGAAAAAAAGACCCCTTTTTTGTCCTTTAAACAACTTTAAAGTTTCACAACAAGTGATTTTTGGTTGATCCTTGGTGAGCGGCCATCAAAATTCTGGTGACCTCTTAATAATGTTCCAGTGCATATCGATATGCCAGTAATCCTATAGAGTATAGATATGCCAGTAATCCTATAGATGTGCCAGTAATCCTATAGATATGCCAGTAATCCTATAGATATGCCAGTAATCCTATAGATATGCCAGTAATCCTATAGATATGCCAGTAATCCTATAGATATGCCATTAATCCTATAGATATGCCATTAATCCTATAGATATGCCATTAATCCTATAGATATGCCAGTAATCCTATAGATATGCCATTAATCCTATAGATATGTCAGTAATCCTAACATGAAATTAATCATAAGATAAGAAAGCTTACCTTATCGGCGTCGGCACCCTCTCCAAGTCTGGATCTGTTTTTGCTTTTTTTCTTAGCTGCTTTGAATGCTGCTAAGCTGAATCTGGTACTCATCCTACGCCATGGTAAGCCATTCTTAAAATTTGGTAAGTAACCGTCATTATGCATTCACAAATAGTGCACAAGAAAAATACTGTTACAGGATCCTAAGAATAACTGATGATAGCTGATAGCAGAAACAACACACAAGATCAAACTAGTTAACAAACGTACGGGTTCTTCAAATAAACGACACTGTTTACTGGGCACGCGCTCAAAAAGGTTTTCAAACGAACTTTAGGATACTAGTTCGACTTTATATCACGATCTTTAAGTGTCAGAGTTTGAGCATTTAACACCACTGATCATATTATGTACTATGTTTGACCTATGTGGGTGCGACAGTGATGAGAAAATCAGTTACAGCGTACTAAGGTTTCATCTAGTCGTGAAATTTTCTCAAGTTTCATCCGCAAAGAACTAAGTTCAAAATACAGTCTGTTACAGCCACCAAGCTGAAAACGCAATTCAACACGTCAGACTGAGGCATGAGAGGGAAAGCTAAATTTGGAGTGTGCACTGGGCTTTTAAAGTGCGGAACTATGAGGTGTTCAAGGTGTTGTTAAGAAGGCTTATAACTGGTTGACATGCCACTAAATAGCATACTAAATATGACAGTATGATGAATGTAAATATATGTGAGTTTGGGAGGTTGTCCGGAACCTTCCGGACTGGTTGGTGTATAAGCCTTCATCGTTCACCCTTCTGCGTTGACAGCAGCTAGATCTAATTAGGAGGTTCTCACCTGGAATGCGCACAAAACTTCTACCTTTGTTGCTGGACAGTTATAACCATAGTACGGGATCGGAGAATGTTTTGGCCAATTCTGTTTTCAGCTATTTGACAGTAACGATTTTAGAATCAATTGGGAGCACCCCAAATTTCTACAAACTGTCAACATTCCCCAACCCCGACAGAGCGTTGCTAGCTGTATTTATAATAAGTACTTATGGGTAAGTAGCGTGAAAATTATTTACTGAGCCCTCTGTTGATAGATAAGTACTCAGCGGAATATAACACAAAACAAACAACACAATTTTGACAGCTCATTAAATGGCAAGTCTAAGTTTCTCTAATACCGTCACTTTAGTTTCGTCTCCTCGGACACTTTATTAACTTACTTTTAACAAACATGCGGCAGAAAGGTATAAAATACGGCACAAGAACTATGGTCTACAAGGACACGGCATGGCTGTGCATGGACTACAAGGAAAGCGGTGCCGGTAGGCTTAAGCTCTCGAAAAATCGAATTACGGATGGGTGTTACTGTTAGGAAACGCGTGGTTTGGTGAAAAACGGACAAACCGCCTGCGTTTATTCCGGTAAAATATTCAATATCGGATAAATCAAAAATGAAAGTTTGAGACAATGTTATAAACTTAGAGCTGGAGGTTTTACTGACTTAAAGAATACATCTAAATAGTTTGATCGAGTGGCCATTGAACGCCAAAAACACTTGCGGAAAATCATGACGTTAATGTGATATTTACTATCAGTATTAGTTTTCCTGCCAACCGCTAATATGTGCATATTGTATAGTTAATTTGATTACCAACTTAAAACATACACCAGTCGACTTCATTTTACATACTCAGCGTTTAGTTACGATATTAATTGTAACTAAACTTCTTGCTTTTTATTTACACACGTCTGGACAGTATGAGTAAACATATGTATACCATGCGTAACTTAATTGAAATCAGGAGAGATGATTTGTTTTCTGGAGAATTCAAATACAATTTTTTTCAAATATTGAGAGAAATATAACACATAACAAAATAGTTGACTATGTACAAAACATTCACAATTCACATGACCAATGCATTCCAGAAAAAATATTGTGTAAAATCATCAATGCAGTCAGTTCATTAAAGAACCAGAAATTCCTGCTCATTCAAAAATAGAGGTGATCATCAAATCAAAAATAAAAATCCTAGTAATCAGTGGAAATAATAGTATAATCCTAGTAATCAGTGGGAAATAATATCGTCATTCAAAGAGAAAGTTTCAACGAGAACTCTAAAAGTCAGCTAGAGACTAAATATTAGGTCACACCTGATTTACTCAACCCATCCTGTTTACACAGCCCACCCTATCAACCATCAAACTATCAACAGCTCACAAATCACATGTCAGTTACCCAAGGAGGAATCAAGATATGTCAACAACAGAATTCTAACGTCGTATATGACTAGTGTGTACTAAAAGTATAATAATCACATTGACAATAATGCATTAAATTCTAGTTATCTCATTCAATATTCATCGAAAGTCCTGCAGTCTATTTTATTTTCCTGAGATCAGATAGTTTGTAGTCGGCGTGGGTGCTGTATTTCCAGGTGTTTGGCTGCTGAAGTCTGTGTTGTGTCTCAGCTAAAACCTTGTACTGCGTCTGGAAAGTAGGAGACTTGTTAATAGGCATACACATAAAACTGCAACTTTGGTATGAACTATCAAGGTAATGCCAGGTATGTAGGTAGGGTGTCATAACGTACGACCCCCTCGTTATGTTGGGCGTGAGCTGGATTTTAGCGACAATGGTCGGCATTTTCACTGCTTTAACTTTATAAGGCAGTTTCACTGCTATAACTTTACAACTACAAGGGGTGGTTACTGATTACTCCTGCCGGAATTTGAAGACCTGGTCGAGTTTCAAAGTTTTGAAGTAAAAGATCACGAGGATAATAAGGAAAAGACTGTTAGCAAATCAGTAGTCTGCACTTTGAAGATTTCATGTCGAGATTGCAGTGAGCGGGATATTTTTTTGATAATCTCAACGACAGATACTACTTGAACCTGCCACAATACAGATTTCACTTGTCACCCTGCAGACAAGTAGATATCATACTGGAATGATTCTTCGGAATTTCGCTGGATTGTACAACTTTCGTCTTGGTAGATTCCAAACACAAGGAAATTTTCCTTCTGGTTGGTAATATACTCAATGATGGAAGTATAGTGTATTGGCTATGCCCCGCTTACTAGTTTAGCTCTTTCTAGTCCCCTGCTACACGGCATGTAAACAGGGATTGGCTAGTTAGAGGCGGTCCGTGTAGGCCTTACACTGTGCTTTCAGCAATACTCATACAATTATTTTGAACCACCTGCACTATCTTCTGTCAAATTTAACAACACATAACGCCTCCACAGCAGTGCTCAGTTCGATATAATGTATTAACACTCACTCCATCTGTACGGGCTCGTATTCGCACACGATAAATCCACGATCGCACCAAACACCAGCCTCCGCCACATTGACACATTAGATCTAAATCATAATCCTGTAAATAGTTTGCAAACACTTTGAAGAAACTGACTGTATGTTTAGGATCTGGGTCCCAACAAGAGGTGGAGGTTGAGAGATTGTAGGCGGTAGTTGGAGGTACGACCCGTCTGTGGAACCTCCGTCTCCGGGCTGTCTCAGTGTTGGTGTGTTGAGTGGGGGAGGTGTAGGTACTTCTTGTGCGCGGCATGTAGTTGTCTGAGGAAAGTTGAAAGGGGTTAAAATACAGGTCAGGTGCAATTTGTTTATCAATATCGTGGATAACAGATTAGCTTGTGATGCTCGTGATGTTGAATCTTTTAAATTTAATGCCTCGAGATAATCACGTGTTATTGATGCGTATTATTACGTTTAATTACTTAAAATCAAAGTGATGAGTAAGCTTCTGGAATAGCGACCGACACTTTAGTGGATTCCCGGAACGAACGCACGTAATAATGCGACTTTACAACTTGTCATAGACGTAAATTGATTGCGTGAAGCAGTGACTCAGACTGTGAGTGACGATTGACGGACAACATTTGAGCTATTTTGATCGCCAATGATTACATTGAAGCTTACGAAACTTTCAACACTTAGTAACAAGCTATTCATAACGCAATCTCGAAGAGTTGCACACAATACCAAAAACGGCTGCATTTTAACAATATTTTACCAATATTTAACCAACATTTAACACTCTCCTTACTTAACTTAGGCAAATTAATAAAACTTTATAAACATTTGGCACCCCCATAGCCAAAGGTACAATAATTAGCCTTAACCAAGCCATTGTCTCGTCGTATACTGACCAGGTTTAGGAGAGCAGCCCCAGGATATTATATTCTCACTTCTGTGGAGAAGAGCTCCTCCAGTCTGCCGCCTTAATCCGTGCTCTCTGGATCCCAGGAACTCTCCGCAACTCTTGTGGGCATATTTGTTGTCCTGGGGAGATGGGAAATACAGAGAAGTGCATTACATTATCGTTTGTAACTAAGATTAAAGATTTATCATATATGTGGACGGCGTTTTTCGAAATAATGGCAACTTAACCAATAGGAATCCGTTTAGATATAAAATCTTTATTCGATATTTATGTAAACTTAACTCACTAGTTTTGAGAATCGGTTAGATCTCGAATTGAAGTTCTCGATAAATTTGGGTGGAGGGTCTCTAATGGATGGTAGTAAAGTCGAATTCTTTCGTTTGACAGGCGACTGAAACATAAAATGTTAAAGCTGAAATCTATTGAATGAAAATATTCCACAATTATCATCGCAAGAATTCGATAAAACTGTATATACTATTCAGTTAAACATTTCCACTTCAGAGAGAGTTCATAGAACACAAGGGTCGTTCATATATCACTTTAAAGCCAATTGTCAGTTTTAGTATACAGTGTTAAAACTTAAAATTACACTAGCTCACTAGCGCAATCGTTTAGTTACCTGGGGACCCCAGGCTATCATGTCCATAAACATCATGTTTATTCGGCGGAATGACAGGCTGAGCGCCGCCCAGTAATCGTTTAGAAGCCCCTCAATCCCTCTCATTGATTGTGTAATATGTTAACGACCCCATAGCTTAAATCCTAATCTATATATACTGACACAATGAAAACAGAGAACCAAGAACACTCACTAGCACTTGTAATTGTGGATCGTGGGACAATATCGCAGACATCATACTCATAGTTGAGTGCGGGCTACCATCTTGAACTGCTAAAACAGTACTTAATTTCAGTAATTAATCAAAAGACTTTATTTAACTCCAACTCATATTTCATTGTGACGAAACTCTGTTTACAGATAGCTAGAGCCTGAGGTAAATTTTGAAGATTTGAGTCAATAACGCGCGTGGCGCGCGGCGTAAATTGTTACACTGGCTGCTGAAAAAGGATACATAAGCTGCCCGTTTTGCACTGCGGCCCTGTAACCATGGCAACTGGCAGATTAATTCAGTTTTTCACACTTAGTTTAGGGCCGGTTAACATGCGCATTGAGCTCATAAAACTTTGTAAACGTAAATAACACCTATGCAGATTATCGAGTTTACTTCTAAAGGCACTTGTACATTTTAGACCACGGCTAATATGTAATAGTGAAATATGGATATGCATGCTAACTTGCTAATGGACTTAAGTCTTAACGCTTCAAGTGAACGAGTACTATAAAGTACTGATAAAGTGAGATGACGTTCATTACATAATCTACAATTATGTCATCACACCGCAAAGATGTGGAGCTCAATAATTATTAAGCTAACTATTTCAATAAATCCAAATCTCTCAACATTTAACAAAAATTATCTAAAAAAAGTAAAATTTAAAAAGAGACAATACAAATTCTTATACAATTTTAACTATACAGGGCTACAATTTTATATTTTGGGTAACTTCTCAATCAGTACCACCAGAAGACAGAGAATCGACAGCTTTGAACAACGCATCTGCACACATGATGTAACCTTGCAATTCCTCTGCAATATCCTGTTCCCCAAGGTCAACGCAAAGATCTACAAACTCAGACCATTGCACCACATCTGGGGACGTATCACTTAACAAAACTGCTTTCAAATCGTTACTCTCGTCCAGAACTTTCAACAAACTGATGAAAATATTATCGTTATGATTCTCCTGGAGACAGCTTAGCACCTCACCGATATTGATACTTTCTTCTAAAACCAGCAGTGCAGCTAGATCGGTTGAAGGGATGTCTTTCAGTAGACGAAGAAGCTTATCGCTGTCCATTTGATGGGTTTTAGCATAGTGAACAGCCCTGTACAAAGCACCCTGTCTTGCTAGACAGTGTATAGACATGTCGTGATCCTTGATGTTCCTAAATACTGCGAGCGCGAGGGTGCCGCTCTCGCAGTCACAGCGCGCACGACACTGACAATTCGACAACAACACATCAGCTATTTCGCTGCACAATGTCAAGTGGTGGTTTGCTATCCACTGAGCAATGAGGTCCATTCTGTTCTCCTTGAGTGCTGCAACAACACACTCGTAACTCTGATCACAAGGTGGAACTGAGTATAGAGGTACAGTTTCCATGAGAATACTGCAGTAAACAAACAAAGGAGACACGCCCCCTTCACCTTGAGACAGAGTTTTAAACTCCTCTATCGTTGCCATGGTCCTCAAGAAACCATTTGGAGAGTTTGCTGCGTGGACAGCAGCTGGTCGGAAGCTGCCGTCTCGTAGCAACTCATCAAGGTAGTCAATGTAAGCGAGAGCCACTTCTGCCTCTTTCTCTTTTGCTGGGTCCTCATCATCATACAGCTCAACCAGCTGGCTCTTGTTAATATTACCTACTGTCTTCATAGCACTTTGTGCATTCTCTAGTATCTGGTCGAAACCCAACCCGTCTGATGACTGAAGAATCTCATTAAGTTGTTTGAGAGCGGGATTTTCTTGGTGCAGCTCCAGAATCTCTTCCTGTCTTTGCTCCTTCAGTTCCTCTTTTTGAAAAAGTAATCCTCTCATCTCCTCAAACCTATCCCTGAGAACAAATTCAGTGCCCTGCTGGTCTAGCATAGCTTGGTGGCTCTGCTCCAACTTGCCCAGCTCTCTACTCAGCAGATTAACATTTGTCATCTGCTCTAAAGTCATGTTGTCTAGCACAGTGTGTTTGAAGATATCCTCCTCGGTAAGAAGGCTCTGAGCGCTGATATCAGCTACAAGTTCCTTCATACTTTCTATTGACTCCGACAGGGTCAGATTCTCGGCGTCAAGTGATGCAAATGTTGCTTTCAGCTGTTTAACTCTGCAACCCAAAGTTTGGATTGTCTCTTCGGCTTGAACAAGCTGTTCCTCCTGATTTTGATCGTAGGCTGACTTAGTATTGGTGACATACAGAGATGAAATTTCAGCGTTATAAGCAGAGGATATGCCAGCTAACATCGGTTTAAATACAGTACTGTGTTCCGTGATTTTAGATAAGGAATGTTTATAAACGAGATAATTCTTGAACGAGAATTGAGATGGGGTTGTGCCGAGAACCTTAAATTCCTCAGTCATCTGCTGCTCCAACGAGCCTACCAACCCTGCCGCTGTGGCTGCCATATCTAAAATCTGGAATGTTAAGATATGATTAAAATATACAGAATTTAAGGTAATTGGGTAATATAGCTAGGCACACTTGGGGCACACCTGGGGCACAAAATTTAATTTCCTGGGGCACATTTGGGGCACAGTTGGGGCACAGTTGGGGCTCAACTGTGCGGTGTGCCCCAAGTGTGCCCCAACTGTATTTGCCCCAAGTGTGCTCAAGTAACTTTTTGCCCCAACTGTGCCCCAGGAAATTCAATTTTGTGCCCCAGGGTTGCCCCAGGTGTGCCCCAAGTGTGCCCCAAGTGTGCCTAGCTAGATTACCTAATTGCCGAATTAATTAAATGTTATGTAAAAAAATATCAGCAGCAATTCAAATGTCTAAATTGTATCATTATTTTCTTGTAGACTTGGAATCGTGAAATAATAATGACGCAGTGGTTAATGAACTCTAGAAATTCTAGAAAATGAAAACAGAAAATGATTTATAAATACGATAAAATTGGGCCTGCCATTTTGCCGAACATCAAATTAAATATCATATCATGCTCTGACTTCAAGATACTAAACAACACATTTAAAAATTCAACAATCCCTATAACACATTAGAGAACACTTGATCTCTGCACACGTGAGCTCGAGAGCATCACACGTTTGTCCTAGATTGATCAAAAATTTCTCAACATAAATGTACAGATTTATTGCATCAAGCAATATTTAAGGATGTATAAAACATCAAAGTAGTACAAAACTCATGTGCTACAAAACCAATGATAAATATCCTTGCAGTTTCGTAACGTTATCAACCTTGTTGTTCATAGCTTCCTCCATAACATGATGAGCCGCAATGGACCCATCTTTAAAACCCAAAATAATAACAGGAGAAGACTGACCAGCCGCAGATGGTAACAGCTCTGTGAAACTCAACAAACCTTTTTGATCATAAGTCTCAATAACCAAGGGAGTGGAGTCCCGAACAGACAAGTCCCACAAGTAAAACTTGTTAGCAGAGTCCATGACGTAGAAGATAGTGGAGCTATAGTGGGACCACCTTACTGAACGAATAGGACGACCTCTTGTTGATCTATCCCACACAACAAGGGGAGTGCTGCGACCAACCGCATACAAAGATATGCTGCCGTCTGAAGATCCAGATAAAAAGTACTTCCAGTTAAACTTGTTGAAGTCGATTGATCCCACGATAGAAGGAACTGCATTTTCCTCTGCATAGTAGTTTGGGTGCGAGAGACTTTGTGTTCTAGAAGCTTTGAGGACAGCTCCCTTATCTGTAGCAACATAATACAAGTTGGAATCTGAATAGCTCTGCTGGAATGCATAAGTCCGTAACTCTGGAAACAAATCAGGGGAATTTTGAGGGAAGTTCGCATTTATGGAAGCACTTTTAACCAATTTGATTTTACCACCGGGTCGAAGTCCAAGATCCGTTTGAGAACCAGAAAATGAGGTATCAAGGACGGGAAGCACAACCCAAATCACGATCACTCCGTGCTCATCAAGAGACGCAATCTGGTAGGACGACATCTGAAGTTGCTCCTGATCAAAACGAATTGCCTGAATACTGGTTATCTTAGAGTTGTGTGACTCAGCAACCTGAATGGAGCTTGTGCTGTATGTTGGTAATCTGCCAACAAAATGTTTGTTATTCAACTGATAACTTTTATGCATTGAATCGGATTCATTAAGGTCCCAGAGGCAGACGGAGCCATCTTCACAGCCGACAAATACGATATTGTGATTGTATGAACTGACACACGCACACCGATGGGCAGAATTGCTGATGAGAACTGTCACAGGATCGTACACATTTTGAAGATTCCACGTGCAGGAAAAACCTACACTGTTAACTAAACTGTCAGTTTTTGATTTCGAGTAACATGTCATAAACATTTGAGCTGATATCGGATACGTAAAAATAGGTGATCTTCCAGCTGCAATCTGATTTGGGGGAAATTGAGCAGCTGAGTTGCTGATTTTGGAAGCTTCTATCGGTTTGAACGTGTGAGTGTAACCATGTCTAGAGGCTCTCTCCTCTAATAGAGTAAAAACTACCTGTGAGGAAAAAGATACAAATTTGGATAGGGTGACGGGGTTGTAGCGACCAGTATCCTCTTCATTTTCAATGTCTTCTCCCTCGTGTGCAGATGCTAATGAAGCTTCTATAGGATGCTGTGTCCAACATGTCTTAGTATCACTCGGTTCAGTTGATGTCTCTTTGTCAATGGAGTCTTCATTGTATTGAGTGTACTTCTGATAAGTTTCACTTCGGCCAAACGACCTCATAAACAGCTCATACTCAGTTTGTGGTTTCAGTTCGAAGAAATCAAAGTATATTGTATCCAATTCAATCAATCTCATGAGATCGTTTCCTCTCTGTGCAGATTTGCTCAGAGCCTTGGTCACAGCCTGTGTTTTTTGTGCAGTCGCAAAGTCAAGTCCTCTTGCACTTCTCCTTTGTTTGGCTTTTTCTCGAACTTCACTGGCAGGTGATCCAGGAACAGGTGTGTTTGCTGGTGAGGAAGGTAACATGGCAGGTGAACTGGAACCAACACGAGAATTCTCCAACACCATTGCTTCCCTAATCTGGAGACGTTCTGCCTCACTCAAACCATTGTCTTGTTCATTAATATCATTAGACGAGGATTCACTATCAACATAACTATCAGAATCATCGTAAGAGTCACTTGAGAACTCGTTTACCTCATCCTCATCTTCAACCTCACTTTCAAAATCATCATCATAATCGTCAAACTCCTCCTCGTCATAGTCATAATCTGGTTCTTCCTCATCCTCTTCTTTAGATCTTAAAGCTTCCATCATGGCTGCTTCACGCAATTTGGCATCACTCTCAGGTTCTTTTTCATCCCCAGGCTTTGTTTTAATGCTTTCTTCTGATTTCTTAGGCAAAGGTTGTTCATCAACAGAATCCAAAATCTGAGAATTTGTATTTTTATCTTCTTTGCTTGTTCTGTCTCGATCATCCTTGCTTCCTTTATCCCTATCTTCCCTACTCTTTGAGCTCTTGCTATCCTTACTTCTTTTTTCATCTTTATCTCTGCTCCTTTTTTCGTCTTTATCTCTGCTCCTTTTTTCATCTTTATCTCTGCTTCTTTTTTCGTCTTTGTCTCTGCTCCTTTTTTCATCTTTATCTCTACTCCTTTTTTCAGCTCTTTCTCCACTTCTTTTTTCCTCTTTATCTCTGCTCCTCTTTTCATCTCTATCTCTGCTTCTCTTTTCATCTTTATCTCTGCTTCTTTTCTTTTCTTTATCTCTGCTTCTTTCACCTTCTTTCACCTTTTCACCTTTCACCTTTAGTTCATTGCCTCTTTTGTCATTGTCATCTCTATGACCATTAGTGTTGTTTCCTGACAAAGATTTTTCAACCGCCCTTTCAGAGGTCTTACTGCCTTTTCTTTCTTTGCTCCCTTTTCTTTCCTCACTATCATCAATCCTCTGATGTGATTTGCTTTTTCTTTTTTCATCAATTTTAGAATCTTTGGAGGTCTTGTCCACATTGGAGCTTCTCCTCTCCTTTTTTATTTTAGATTCTTCATTTTGTTTTGAACTTCTATGCGCTTTCTGATCACTTTTTGAACTGCCACGTGGTACTTCTCGTTCTTTTCTTTTCGATCTTTCTCTCCTTTCCATAACCTAAAAATGAAACTGGTATGTAAAATGTGCATTGTGTACATGTATTGCACAACAAATGTTTTAAAGTGATACTGTAGGGTGGGCGACAATTGACCCCCTGACAATTGACCCCCCGAAAATTGACCCCCCAACAATTGACCCCCCCGACAATTGACCCCCCGACAATTGACCCCCGGCCCCCGACAATTGACCTTCCGACAATTGACCCCCAGACAATATAATTTAATACAATTAACCCTGACCTTGACCCTGACCTTGACCCTGACCCTGACCCAGGACCTAGGACCCAGGACCCAGGACCCAGGACCCAGGATCCAGGACCCAGGACCCAGGACCCAGGACCCAGGACCCAGGACCCAGGACCCAGGACCCAGGACCCAGGACCCAGGACCCAGGACCCAGGACCCAGGACCCAGGACCCAGGACCCAGGACCCAGGACCCAGGACCCAGGACCCAGGACCCAGGACCCAGGGCCCAGGACCCAGGACCCAGGACCCAGGACCCAGGACCCAGGACCCAGGACCCAGGACCCAGGACCCAGGACCCAGGACCCAGGACCCATCCTAATGTTGGGTTTTTTTATAAGCTATTAATATAAAAGAACAGTATCTTTACGTATCATCTAATGATCTATTGTGACATAATATATTTCAGGAGACTGAAGAAATCCAAAGATAGTGCAGCGATCTAAAGAGAATGAGTTAGAAGACCTTCGGAATCTGAAAGTGGAGTCGCTCTACCTTGACGGGAGAAAAGATGCAGCATTGTGATGAGCTAAGAATCGACATTCGACAACTCGCCACTCAGTGGCGTAACAAAGGGCCCTGCTGACCCCGCTGTGCAGGGGGGCGCCGTCTTAGGGGGGCGCCAAATCGTCGTTTGAATGTGGGACAATTTCGAAAACTTAACTAAAGTACTAGCAAAACTGCGCGTTTTGCTCTAGATACACACTTTTTTAGAGATTTTACCGGCGTATCCTCTAAAATCACCTAATTTGTTCAATTTTAGGGAGGGGCACCAAAAGGGGAAGGGGCGCCAACAGGGGGGCGCCTTTTCGGCAGGGGGGCGCCAACAGGCAACGTTACGCCACTGTCGCCACTAAGATCTTGTGGCTGCTATTACACCACTAACGTCAACACCGGACGTCACAATGGGATTATAGCCCTCTTGGAGAAGAATTTTGGACGGGAGTTGCGAAGATTTATTTGGTGCCTTCACAGGATAGACCTGCCATTAAAAATCTAAGGGGTTCTGAGTCCTGAACTATCGAGAGAACGAATTGGTCCTCTCAGCCACGCAAGGTGGATTACAATACAGTCGAGTTAGTTATATCATCAATATTTACTAAATCAAATCAAATCATAAATTGATTTGAATATCAAGTATAAAAGTTCACACAGGAGGAGCAAAGTGCAAAGAAACTGCCACAAACTGCTACAAACTGCTATTAACTGCTACAAACTGGCACTAACTGCCACAAACTGCTACAAACGGGCACTGACTGCTACAAACGGGCACTAACTGCTGCAATCGCGCCCACGCATTCGCGCGCCGTTTGCAGCAGTCAGTGCCCGTTTGTAGCAGTCAGTGCCCGTTTGTAGCAGTTAGTGCCAGTTTGTAGCAGTTTGTAGCAGTCGCACGCGGCGTGCGTTGCGCAGTTTAGACAAGCGCGTAACTGCTACAAACTGCTACAAACTGGCACTAACTGCTACAAACGGGCACTGACTGCTACAAACGGGCACTGACTGCTGCAAACGGTGCGCTAATGCGTGGGCGCTATTGCAGTAGTCAGTGCCTGTTTGTAGCAGTCAGTGCCCGTTTGTAGCAGTTAGTGCCAGTTTGTGGCAGTTAGTGCCAGTTTGTAGCAGTTTGTAGCAGTTTGTAGCAGTTTGTAGCAGTTTGTGGCAGTTTCTTTGCACTTTGCTCCTCCTGTGTTCAGTTGTTAATGGTGCAGTTAACTTGTTTGAGGAAGTAACATTGGTCAAGAAACACGTTAAGGGTAAAGTTGACAGGGAAATATGTTTAGAAGTTTTACGAAATAATTCTTATTTTGCACACCACCATAACATTCTCAAGAAAACAACAATTTCAAGAAAACAACAATTTTATTTAGTATCAATTAAAGCAAACATAAATATATTTTATATATAACTAGCAGGACCTTTTTACCAGATATCTTAGGGGACTTGGAGTAGCAAGAGAATGGATAGAAGGTATATACCTAATACAAAAATACGTCAAAAAGAATCCAGGGTGATACAGGATCGGAGAGTGCAGACCGTAAAGTTTACGCACCCACCCTTGCCTCCTAAATTCTTGGTTGGGTAGGCATTTATGCGAACTTGGTCGTTTATACTCCAAGTCCCTTTGTTAAAAAATTAATAAAATTTATCTCAGGAGTTAACTTCATTCAACAATAATAATATCAATATCAATTTATCGCATAAATTTAACTATCGAATACAGGTTTGATTATCGAATATAGGTTCGATTATCAAATATAGGTTCGATCTGATATAAATTTGTAAAATAAAATATTTAATTATTAAAAACATTACATCAAGTGGTTAAAAATGGATCTGAAAGCTTATCAGCTTATAGTTCAATCATGATAGTAATATTAGGTGTGTGCTGCTGCATGTGCAATTTAATTACTGCAATTTAAAATTGGTTGGAGTCCAGGAATCTTTTAAGTCAGCTGCCTGTGATTGTACTAATAGTGCTTTGGTTCTCAATTTTATCAAGTTAATGGAAGTTTCTAGGCAATTGCTTGAAGTTAAAATTTTTTTATGAACTGTGTTCCAAAGCTTGGCTGCATTAAACAAAAAGGTATTTGATTTATTTAGAAGAATAACAGTTAGACTCGTTGCACGGTTTGAAATGTTGATGGCCTCATAAAGGGAGTAGGGGCAGTGGTACTTGATAATCTTAGAGAATTCTAAAATGCAGTGATATTTGTACAAGTTTTGAGCCGTTAGAATTTTTAGTCTATTAAAAATGGGTTTTGTATGCTCCTTTTCAAAGTGTTTATGGTCTAATTTTTGCATACCATACGGTCTAGTACGTGCACATGTTGATTGTTTATCTAAATATGAGTCGAGATCACCAAAAAGGATCCTTACACAGTGCTTCTGTGTGATAAAAAGACTGTCATTTGATCTTTCTTTAAGGACAACGCCCCAAACACTTATACCATAACTGAGATGTGATTCAAAGAGAGCATTATATATTTTCAAATATAGTTCACCAGGTATCGAGTGTCGAATTCTACAGATTGCACCAGTCATGGACCGAAGTTTTTTACGAATGTAGTGCATATGGGCAGCCCAGTTTAACTTACTATCTATAACAATACCTAGGAATTTGGTATCCTTGACTTTAGTAATAACCTTACTATCGATGAATATTGACCTAGACTCATCTAGCAGGTTAGCAAATGGTCTGGTCCTTGCACAGGTCTCATCATATTCCGAGGCAGGTTTAAAATGGATGTAGCAACATTTAGACATATTGATATGGAGTAGATTACATTTCATGTAAATCGACACATGTTTAAGAACTAAGTTTGCTTTTTTGTATGTTGCTTCTCTAGATGGTCCTGATATAAAGATATTAGTGTCATCAGCATAAAGTACAAATTTCACCTCACTGTCAGAAAAACAGTTCACTATATCGTTCATATACAGTAGGAAGAGTAACGGCCCTAGAATTGACCCCTGTGGTACCCCAAATTTCACATCCAGTGTTTCTGATGGTACATCGTTATACATAACATACTGCTTTCTGTTAGTCAAATAGCTTTTAAGTAAGGTAAGTGCTGTGCCCCTAATACCATAGGAGTTTAATTTGCTTAGAAGAATGTTGTGGTCAAGGGTGTCGAAGGCTTTGCTTAAGTCAATGAATATTCCTAAGACATGTTTATTGCCAGCTAGAGTCTTTGTAACGGAGTCTATAGATTTGTGTAGAGCATGAGTGGTGGAATGACCTTTTCTAAATCCAAACTGTGAGTCTGTCAGTACACCTTTAGATGTGAAGAAATTATAGAGCCGTTTGTAAATGATCTTCTCGAAAATTTTTCCAAATAAAGGTAATATTGATACAGGCCGATAGTTTTCGATACATTCCTTATTGTCTTTCTTGTAAATAGGAATAACTTTACCAGTTTTAAAAATAGTCGGGAATGTACCACTTTGTATACATGTGTTGTAAAGCCTGGCCAAGGTACCAGCTATAAGCTTTGATGATTTCTTTACAACAATTATTGGTATGTCACTCGCCTTGCCATTTTGAAAATCTTTGATCACCTCGATGATCTCGTCTTTATTAGTTTCTTCCAGATAAATGGAGTCAGATACTGAATTTGACATGAACTGAGCAAATGATTCAATTGGTTCCAGAGAAATACTATTGTTCGACAGTACATTTTTATTGAGATTACTTGCAAGAGATGTAAAATATTCACAAAATTTGTTAGCAATTATTCGTCTGCAGGTAACTCTCTGACCGTTTATGACAAAATCGTCCTTACATCGAGACATAGTTTTACCACGGAGTTCATTAATAACTTCCCACGTCTTTTTAGAGTTCATGCTGTACTTTTCGAATTTTCTAGTGTAGCCCATAGCCTTTGCCATATTTATTGAGCTTTTGAGAAACTTGTCGAATTCCTTGTAGCAAATGTGCTTATTCGGATCCCCGTCAGGTAATTTTAATGTACAAGTCTTTTTCCATTCGAAATACAATCTAGCTTTCTTCTCGATGGAATTAATTAGGCCCTGGGTAATCCAAGGGTTGGTTATGCTATTACGTTTAGTGGTTCTTGGAGTTAGAAGTTTGCAAGACAAGTCTATTTTTTCTTGAAATAGCTGCATAAAAGAGTCAAATGTGTCACAACTGTAGTGGAACCTATCCAAATCGTTTTCTATTTCAAGACAGAGCTTCTCTAGGTTAGCATTCTAATTGCCATGTTAGCTGACGATTGTTCTGTTATTAAAAAAGAGGCTATAGAGAAGGTTTCTGAAGTTGTAGAATCAGATGTTTTGTCGTTTAGCTATGTTCTGCCTAAGTTGAATGTTAAGGCCACTAAGTATTCCGAGTTGTGTTCTATGAGTAAGCTAGATAGATGGTAGCATATTTATTTTAAAGGGAATAGATTTATTCATGTTTTGTTTTAGAACCATCTACTTCTGAGCTGCCCTGTCAAAATTAAAAGGGCGTACAGTCAAAAGCCTCCTTAAATTATTAATGGACGATCCTAAAGACCGTAATTTGGTCATGAACACTTCAGAAGAATTCAATGAAATAAAGGATATTACCCGCTGTAAACAATAATGGAGGAACCGTTTGTAGCTTTTGCACATTTTACGGTGTGAAGATGTTTTTACCATGGTAAATTCGGTACACGTACTCAAGTTCGACACGCACTCTAGTTTGTCACTTACTGTAGTTCGACAAACCCTGGGGTTCGACTCTGTCGAACTAAAGCGCTCCATCTGGACTCAAGTTCGACACACACTAAAATGTTTAATGAGCCCAATCGCTCATCACTTAACAGTTTAATCTTCAAAGTGAGTTGTACAATCTAGGTTGTTTTAAGTAGCTGTTGATAGTGTAAAACAGGAGTGACTTGATCGTTTTCATAACTTCGATTTACAATTTGTACCATAATAAAACTAGCACAGCCATGGGGTTCAAAAAGGGTCATTGTAAGCCTCCAGCGTAATGGTCCTAAGTCTCTGCCCCATGCAGTGCCTGTCAGCATCAGCTAACAGAATAGCCCTAACATAACGATCAAGCCACAAATTAGGTTCTATAATGATTTAATATTGTTGAATAAAGAGATTTGAATATAATATTTGTTTTATTCTGAATATTTGTTTTATTCTGACTAAAGTTAAACAACAAACAAAAGAACTTTGACTGTCAGACTACAGTTTTGAAATCTCTATCAAGCAACGATCCTTTACGAGCTTGAAATCTATTCGTTTGTTTGTTTTCCACTTTTCTCATGCTGTTCAATTATGTGTTTATATAATTTCTATAATTCATATCTGGGGACATTTAATTGACCTCATACTCAATTGTTAGTTATTAGAATTGTAAGATTAACGGAGAAATAAAAGAGTAACGTGGTAACTCTTACTTCGTATTATATATTAATATTGTAGATTATGCTAGTTAAGTAGTTAGCTAATTAGTGATTCATTCCCGGCGCGAGAACAAAGCGCCAGGAAAATAAGGCAATTTTTTGCGCGAACTTGTAAATTTACTTACGCCGCGCAGAGATGTGCCTTCCTGGTGTATCCATAATATCTCCAATATGAAACCTGTATATCTGACTTAATATCCATTTAGTATTAAAAAATTCAGTGAGTTATCTTTTCATGTACGCGTACGTTGTACATTGTAGTTAGTAAATGCAAACCAAACTTTTTCCATCAGCCGCGCGCTAAGCCAATGTTGCAAGGTTAAAAATTGTGTATATTTTGTCCATTTTTCAGTGAAAATTAATTTATTAATTAATCACTTGAAGACGTATCACAAATTATTTTATTATAATAAAACCACTTCTGTGAAATGGTTATTTTGTCTTTTAATATTTGAACTAAATATGTACGTATTAATTGTGGGCATAAAATACAATTTGTTTTACTACAAATTTGTTTTTTGTTTTTACTGTTAAGGTAAACGCTGCTCTAACCAGAGCCCTCTCGCTTGTGAAACAAGCGCGTCACGCAGTACGCGTAGACACATGGCTATGTGAAAGGTAAACGAGATTTTGCGAAATAATTCAGCATAGCTGATCTCGTAGGATATTACAATTATACCCGTTCCAGTTCCAAAGGTGAGTCAGCGCTTTAACCAAAAGTTAATTGACGATATCAATTCATCTCAGCTCGGTGCGGCACAGTAGCGCATCTCGCCGATCTAGAGAGAAGCCTCATTGAGTGCGCGGCACAGTAACGCATCGCGCTACAAACCAAAAGCAATTAGCAAAAGGAGCCAGTTGGCTGTAAGAGCTTTACTTTGCTTCAACCAGAGCCCTCTCGCTTGCAGTAGCGCGCGACCGCCGAAGGCGGCAAAGGAGGTAAAAGAGTATATTCTACTTGTGAAACAAGCGCGTCATGCAGTACGCGTATACACATGGCTATGTGAACTAAAATACCGTTAGTTCATCCTATAACTGCTACAAACTTATAAAGACTTGAAATACTGCTTATATTATAGAAGTCCTGATACAATCCATTGGCGCTCAGGCGCTTAGCTTATAATACCATATATCACATTCTTTGTAGGTTTACAACCTACCAGGACGCGCGCCGAGTTGAACTCGTCGACGGTCCTGTATACTACGGTCCAATATATGGAACATATATTTTACGAGTATCACCCGTTAACACATTCTACGTGCATTTTAAAGCAATTTGATCTGAAGTATGATAATTATAATAACCAGTTTTATCGTGTTCAGCGTCCTCAAAAACATAGTGTTACATGATTTTCACTTCGATTTTCATTAACAAATAATCCTTCTATTTTCAAATCTCTGGCCCAGCTTCATGCTGGGTTTCAGAAGGTGATACCAGATCAATATGCGGCGATAATTGCTCCTATAATTGGATCCAATTACACGCGATACACTATATTATAATTTCTGCTCCCTCGTCTGGGGTTTCGCAGCCAAATCACACATTGAGTCACTATTCACAAAACAGAAACAAGGAGTGAGAATGGTTATGCCAGGTTACGTCAACTATTTCTACAAGGACGGCCAATTGCCTGCACACACGGGGGATAGCTTTATATTAAAGAGTATGGAATTCTCACTATTCATGGAATTATCGTGAAGAATGCACTTATATTAATGCACAGGATGAAATGCTTCCCTGAAACATTGCCAAAATCAATCAAAGGCCTTTTTCCAAGTAATATCCCGACAGTTAACTCCAGCCATGAGACTAGCTCTGACTGGCTTCTTACATACGGTAGTAACACTTTTAGACAATCAGTATTTTTAAAGGCCCACTGCTTGCCATCACTGAAACAAACTATAATATAACGTGTCTTCCCAGCTTATTTTCAATAAACATATACAAGTCTAATGCAAAACGTGTGCTATTGGAACACCAATCAAGAGGCAATAACGAGGAAAGCTGGCAAACCTTTTTACTGAATAACATTCCAGGTTTAAGGAAATCTCAACGGTCACAAAATCACACACCTCACAACATAATCTAGGTAAACTATAGGTAAAAATATAATATTAATCATAAGCTAAAATGTACTAATCTTTGTATTCTAAATGGGGAAAAGAAGAAACATTGTCAGTCAGTCGAGAAAATTGTCAGTCACTAACTTAGTATTAGTAAACTATCTAAACAACATGAGGCATACATTCAACAAACATTTTAGTTACGAAAGTACAAAACTAATAATTACCGACAACTTTTGAAATCAGAAAATTTTCACTGCCAGACCTGCTACAAGTTTACTGATAATACTCCTGGCCATCGCTCAATTAAAGCCTTATCAGCACAACACACACAATCACATATCATCAACGTAGTTGATCTCAACGCATCATAAAAACAACCATGCACACACACACCCACTTACCACTACACAGTACCACACAGAGCCCAGCATAAATTCAAATAACGCCTAGTTGATTTTGATAGAATAACATCGTGATCCAGCTTAATCAATTGTTTTAATTTTAATTGAAGTTAAATGGCTGCACCCCTGACTTTTTAACTAAAGATAAGAGACGTATTATATATTAGGACAGTTGTCTGATAAAATTTAAAGCTTGGTGTGAGAATTAGTGTGGAAATAAAAGAGATTCATTTTATTACATCATATATCTTAATTAAGTGACAGTAAGTATTATTATTTTAATTACAGATTATATTATTTCAGTTAGTATTGACATGAATGTTACGATTTCAGTTTATTTACAGGGTGGGCCAAAAGTCAGTACCCATACGTTGGCCTTAATAGCTCCGCCGTGTTTTATATTTGAGAGCTGTTGCTTTGCAGATGGCATACTGTACTTACTGGTTCGAGGATTCCGTCGTCAAAATTTGAAAATTCGAATATTTTAGACCACGCCCATTCAATATTAAAACACCTATATTGTTTTCTATGAACATGCTGAACGCCTAATTTTTTCAGAGACGGTAGATTATCAAATGTTGCATATGATCTGAAAATATGAGGCAAATCGGATTAGAAATGACGAAGTTATCAAGCATTTTCTGTATCTCGTTAACAATATTGACTGGGTGATTATGTGACACCGTGACACGACACCTTAATTGGGCACCCTTAACAATTCCCATAATGTTTAACGAGGTAGTTAACGGGGGCACCTTATCACGTGATTAGGTAAACCAATCACCTGATCACACGTAATGAATAAACTCGTTATGCTTCATATCTCGGTCATCTGAGAAGCTACAGTTCTAATTCTTTCAGGACAAACGTAATTCGAATGGCCAAACACAATTCAATAACATTTAGCTTGATTCGACTATCCAAACTATCAAATAAATGTGAAAATGAACCTCCATTTGAAAAAAATGAACGTGAATATTTTTCAAGTTGACAAATTCCTCGAACCAGTGGTGGTACTAAGTCATACCAGAAAGAAGTATTTAAATTGGGCACTCAGTGACTGAGCTATAAAGGTCAACGTATGGGTACTGACTTTTGGCCCACCCTGTATATATTATATTGTCAATAAACCGGTTTCAAAGCCCTTAAGGGTGGCCCTCGGGTCTTTAAAACAAAACTATATTATTCCACATAAGGCCTGATCAAGTAGCTTGAGCTCGGAGAACAAGCTCTGGTGACGTCATAGCCACTTGACCTCAGGCTAATAATCATGTGACCTTAGACCCAATCAATTGGGTTCTGGCCTGGTCAGCCCCCTGTCACCCGATCTTGAGGTGACGTACAACACCTCGTTGACCCAATCAATCTCTGAAATGCTGCAAATTTTCACATGCCAAGTTCACAAGATTCTTGTAATTTATTTGCAGATAGAGCTTACAATTTCAGTCAACAAGTTTTGAAGTGCTTTTAAAGAATGGAGAAAAATATTGTTCGCACGATTTTCAAATAAAATTATTAATGAGAGTGCACCGTCATCATTTACAAGTAAATTTGCCTATGTATCTGGAGGCCCAAATCTAGAACACATATAAAAGCTTTTCGTATTTGGGTGCAAAATGCTGGAATTCAACTCCAGTGAACATAAGGAATGTAGAATGTACTGCCAAATTTTAACATTGTATGAAATCCGAATTTATGTTGGATGTTGGACCATTTTTACACTCCGACTCTGTGATAACTATAAGGTGTTTCAGAGTTTCTGTTAAGTAGCAGGATCCCCTGTGTTTTGCTGACCAAATTAAGCCGCAAGTCTACATTTAAAAAACTTAGTTGAAGAAGTATAGATCTGTATGACGTATGTCTCTCTTACTTTATCCGCTTACCACGTCTGACCTGATGCCATTTTCACTCTAAGGTCTTTACTTCTCTGTATGTAAATGTACATAATTCTGACAAAAAATGTCAAAGTGGGTATCTATTAAATTTTTTCGTACTACTTCAATGGTTACCTTCATGTCCACAGTTTAATGTTAAACCACGTTATAGTTAGATGGGTAAAATGAACCGCTAAGCCACGCCGAGCTGCTTATTTTGGGAATAGTTTAGTACCTCAATCGTGTCTTATGCCATCCTCATAGACCTTGTAAGATGGTCATTCAGGAAAAATTCAGTTGTGAGGTTCTTGTAAGTGTACTTATTCAATGAAACCAGGTAATGAATGAGGAACAACTTACAATGAACTGTATTACATAGAATAAACCTAAAGGGGGATGTCGTTAGATAACAGCATATAAAATAGGCTGACATCACACCCTCTCTTCAAAAGTTGAAAAACCCAATTCTATATGAAAATTTCAAACCCAGTGACAATCGTATAAGGTTAACAATGTTCAATAAATTTAAAAGAATTAATAAATAGCATCAGATTGTTTGGGTCAATTTCAAATACCCCAAAGATATCGAAAAAATAAAATAATTTTAAAATATGTTGATAAATCTCTCAAAAACGAAAGTGTTCTCATACATTCTCGAAAACGTGTTCAATAAATACCATATCAAAATAGGTCAAGAACAATCATAAATAATTCAATAACTCCCCTAAAAACCATATAAATCTGGCGGTACAAACAGGTTTAGAAAACTATCAATGTATCAACTAATAACATTAAACACTATTGATTACAGTCATAATAAAAAGTGTTTATAAATTCAAAAGTCTATTCAATCTGGTCAATGAGTCACTTATGCCAAATATCAACAGTATGATAAAGTTTATACTCTACGCTGATGATGCGAACATCATAATAAAAGGCAAAAATGCAAACGATGTTATACAAAAATTCAACCAATTCTCCCACGAGTTTGTACGCTGGGTTGACTGTAATGGACTTGCACTTAATCTAAAAAAGACCTGCTATATGCTTTTCG